ATTGTCAAATAGTTACGATGCTACGATAGTTCTCAGAGAACGTACGCTGCAGGAGCGGAAAGCGAGAGCTCACGCAAGTAGGAATCTCTCCTTCGTAGATCGGAACTCTATCTAAGCAGGCACGCTTATGTGCCTCATGGGTTTTGCCAAACTATTGCTCGTACATCCTCTGTAGTCGATTCCCCCCCCCCCTCTTTGCCTCTCTCTTTATCTGTCCGTCTCTCTGTCGGACCACTTATCTATCTTGCTATTTCTCCGTGTTCCGATTAGTGCTCTGGTATTGATCAGAATGCTTGTAGCTGAGATCTTGTATAGCTTGTTAAACTCGCTTTTCAAGTCACTCTAGAACGGTGTACATATTTGCAATAGCATATTCGCGAAATATTTTTTATCTATTCATTTATTAAAATATTGCATTAACTATTATCTAAGAATAATAAGAAATATCTTGCTAGAATGATTTCGATTATACTTTAAAAAAATGTGACCTTATACATTTTCGAGTCATCATTATTCCATTTTTTCAAATTTCGGAATTGTAGTCTTCTTACCATTAATCTCTTATGTTACTGATATTAAGATAATTAAACTGTATGTTTTTATTTGGAATATATGTGCGCGAAAATAATATACACTAACAAACATGCACTGGAAAAACATCTAAGCAAGAACGGCGTAGATGAATGTGGAAAGGCAAACTGGAGAGAGGAGAAGGGGAGAACAATCACAAAGCTTGTTAGGCGTACCGTCGACTCCGACGTGTCACTAATAGGTATACACACGTGCATAAACATACCCTTAGCCTCCAGCAAAAGACGTATATGCGCTTAGAGCACACCTATGTGCCTGCATCAGTTCAAATAAACCAAAATTATATCAACAGAACGCAAAACTTTCGCGGAAGCCTCGGATTAAAATCAATAATCTGATTATATGTTTGCATAATATACAACCTTATTCCTTATATAATGTATTTTACATAAGCGAGTCGAAAAGTAAATACGAACAGCACGAGAGGGAGGATTTAAAAGTTAGTTTATTATAAAAATGTTTAAGAGACATTTTAATACTTTATAATTATAAAATTATATAAAAAACTGTTGCCTCCTTTCTTCTTTGTCACATTGCACGCACACAACTGCCATTTTTCTATCTAATAAACATCTGCTCATAAGAGAAATATAAAATGCACATAGTGGATATCTATGCAGTCACAAGAAATATTTCTATAACTGCGACACACCATATGCGCATATTCATCTTGCATATTTTATTCCTTTTGCAAAAATAATGAACGCGAGATTTGTATTTGCTGAATAATATTTGTAAATATGATAAGCATCCGCTAGTAAAAATATGATATTTGACATTATGCAATATAATATAAGTATAATATTTATTAACAGATCAATCGGACTATTTGCAAATCATTTTACTGCTAATGATTGAATTCATGAAAATTTAATCCAATAATTATAATTTGTTGATAATTTATTAAATAAATTTAACTAATTATAAACTTCCTCTCTCCCTCTCTCTCTCTCTCTCTCTCCCTCTCTCTCTTTCTCTCTCTCTCTGTTTTTCTAGAAAGATCTTTTTATAAGTGAGATTTTAATCCCTCTTTCGACCCCCTCTCGTTTCATCTTAATCCACCCTCACTTTATTTTGATCACTTTTTCCGTTCGAAAGCATCCATTATGCCCAGCCCTGCTGGTGACTGTGAATTAATGGCTCAACGTGTAATGTGTTTTATGACGAAGACACAATTAAGTCTTGAGTAAAAATAATAATTGCAAATATTGATAAAAATTATTATCATTATATAAGTATCATCTGTTTTATTTATAAAAAGACTAATATTTCACACAAATATCTTTAAATATTAGAAAAAATATTTTAAAATTTATATATGTATCGAAATGAATTATTGTTAGTTACTTATCAAAAGATAGTTTCATTGAAACAACGCGATTGTATTTATGCTTTATACGCTATAAATGATCAGATACAGACAGGTCAGATACAGACTGTATGACGATGTCAATGTTCGCCGATGATTAATACTCACTATTGCAACAGCAATATTAACGGCGAAGACATCGATCCTCTTTACAAGCTTTGATGTATGACATATGGAAAGGGAGCAAGAATCGATTTAATCGAGAACCGAGGATTCGATCAGCATGCGTGTATTTGTGCACATGTGTGTATGTGTGTGCATGTGTGTTCACATATCTCACATGATGAAGGGACTGAACCGGAAACCTACAATTAGTCACCTCAATTTTCGTTTCGTTTAATTATGTCAGGACGACAGACTGATATGTGGGCAAGCACAAAGAGAGATATTACTGAATGAATTTTGCCGTTATACAGAAAGTCTCTCAAAATTACAGACAATTTCGAATCGTATTGAAAATTCGAAAAAGAAAAAAGTTCCCATAATTAAACAAAAGCTTGGAAATAGCAGTCAGAAAATAAAATCATTTATTAGTAATTTCAAAATTTCAATATTCTATTTCTATTAATTTTAAGAATTTTGGAAAATTTAAACGAAAAAAAAATAATTATATCATGAGAAAAATATAATTTATTTTACAATAGAACTGAATTTTTTAATGATTTTTATTCCATAATCCGTTCACAATAGGAACAAGCTCGGGCATATCTCTCTCGATCGACGATCAGGGAATTGTGAGATCAAAACTCGTCTTCGAACTGGCACAGCCATTAAAATCGATCGAAGAAAGGACGACAAAACCTCGGCTACACAATGGCTTGTGCAACTGGCGAGTTCTATACACCTATCGGGTGCGTCGAAATTTGGAGGACTCGTTTACAGGAAATCGGAGAGAGGGAAAGCGATAACAAACCGTTCATTCAATGCGATGGCTTCTGGGACAAGACTCTCTGAGAAACGCATCATCGAAATAGAAGGTATCTTGAGTCGAGGATGAAATGGACTCACTCCATGTTCATACTTGGACACGGTAAGAGCCACGTATTTGACGTATACAGGATAGGTAGATTGTGAAACGAGAATCATTTATAATAGTGTTAGAATCGAGCTTGGATCGAGTTTAAAGTCTATCTTATTCCACCTTAACAAAACTCTCATCAAGAATTGTTTATAAACTAACTTAATTTCAATACTTTCGCGCTTGCTTGACAAGTTTGAAATTAAATCTTCGTTAAAACAAAATGAAATCAATCGAAAATGAGATTTTATTATACTCTGGTTATATTCTTTTGAAATTTAATGGAAAGAAAAATATTGAAAAATCTCTCTTTAATGTTTGATTATTTGATAAATAAATTTTCGTTGAAATTTCTGTCGAAGAAGGAACGATTGTACACTTATCAAAATATGTGATGCATGCATAATTTCTGTATCTAACAATGCATTTCGTATGGTCGATCGTAATAGTTGTACTTTGCGAAAGGAGATTCGGTTGAGAACGAATACCGTTTAATGCTTTCAAGCATGCTCTCCTTGGGGCTTTGACTTTTACACGAGAGAGTACAAGTGCTGGATTAAATCTCTACCGATAATCGGCGCTTGGCCTCGTATCGTAGAAAGTACGAAGAACAGATCGTTGCGTTTTTATCGAACACATTATCAAAAACTGCTTCCAATAATTTCAAGAGCACTTTTTGTGTATTATTTTGTTAAATAATAACATAATCAAATAAATATCTACAAGAATTAAAATATCTTTTATATACATCTTTATTACAATATTTGTTATATATTTTAAATGTGGATAAAAAATTATAACTTTTATTTTGAATAAAAGATTAAATTAACGATAAGAATGAAATAAAATTTTGGAAGGTGAAAAGAGATTAAATAAAAATTATAGGAAAGAATATGTTTATCAGAAGGAACAAATCTTTTATAATAGTTTAAAAATTTAAATAGATAATAAATTTTCACAAATCTTGTAACTTTGAAATTTACAAACAAGTTTATATCCTTATATCTTATAAGTTGAAATCTTTAATAACTTTTAAATTTATATCGTAAATTATTAGAGTATCTCGACGATATTTTATTAAAACAAATTTATTCAAAACTTATTAGAGAAACTATTATATTAAAGTAATGAATATTAATAATAATGAGAAATATATATTACATTTAATAATAAATATAAAATTTTCTAGTCGAAATATAATCCGTAATTCATTATTCGCTCGTTTTATTTTTATAGAATTATAAGATTATATTGTTTATCTTTTCAAATGCATTATTTTTTTCTTTCACTCATCAAATCATGCAAGAAATTTTTATTAGAATGTTTATTAAATTTTCATGAGTAAAAATTAACAATCTTGTATATTTTTTTGCACGGAATATTGTAAATGTTAATTAATTCGATGGCTTTGAATTAATTAATTCGAAATCTTCTTTCTTGTCAAAGATAGATATTATTTGTAAGATACGTTTTCTTTTTCATCTTCTCTACACTTTATTTTGATTTTATATATTATTTAAAAATTAATTTTTATATATTATATATTCAATTCATATTTTATATATTCAATTTCAAAGGACATAAAGCAAGTTACAAACAAATTTTTCATTGGATAGATCTTTCATTCCGAGAACAATTAGATATTTTGAAAACGTAGAACCAACATTATTATATTTTAAGCTAGAGATTTACCATCTAATGTAGAAACTTTAATAGTAGATAGGTTTTTTCGCAATCTCACAATCAGTCTTAGCTCAGTCTCCGAGCTTTATTGAAAGGAACAAAGACTACAAATGAATAACGTCTCTAAAATGGCATTCTTTAAATTCATTCTTTGAATAAATTCAACAGATCTGCTATTGTTGCTTATATATTTATTATATATATATATATATATATATATATATATATAATTGCTTTCTTACTCAGTTATTATGTATAAATTTAAAAAATAATAAAAAAAAATTTCTAATTACAAATATTTTATATTAAAAAATAAAAATGTATATTCGCATTAATCAATAGTAGTAATCAATAGTAAGATATTCATTAGTAAATGAACAAGAAATAATGCTTCTCGTTAATTTTCTATTGTTGGCATCGCTTCGTTACAAGAAAATGCCTTCCCTTCGTGACAGCAAATAGGCTCTGCACTTTTCAAACCAGTGAATACCCAAAAAGAATCACATGATTTTATATATAGAGCGACCTAGAAAAAACAAAATAAAATAACATTAAAAAAACAAATAATTAAAAAATAATATAATTGTTTTATTTATTTTTATTTGAGAAAAATAATATTTTATAGTATTAATATTATTATTTGTATTATTTGTGTTAATATTATTATTTGTATTATTTGTGTTTATCTATATATAATACGAAAAAAATAAACGATTGTGCTATATATATATAGCACAATCGTTTATTTTTTTCATATTATATATAGATAAACACTAATTAGAAAAGAAATCCAGCAAATATATATATATATTTCTCTACTCGGAGAGGAAATAATATTGACATTATGTATGTATAATGTTAATGAGAAAATGAGATATGTTGCTTACTTTTAAATTTTCGATATGCATGTTTACTTTCTCACAAATCAGCATTGGTACGTTATCTCGAACAGTTTCAACCTGAACATAGAAATATCAACTTTATTATTACCTTTTATTTTTAATTTTAATTTTAATTTTTAATTTTTAATTTTTTCATGTTTTAATTGATTTCCAATACCTTTAATCATATACATATATATACAGGGTGAGTCATTTTAAGTGACGGACTAAAATTTCTCGAAAACTATAGGAGATACAGAAAAATGTTTCCAACAAAAATTGTAGGGTGTGAAGGGGGACATAAGATGGTAGCATTGGTTTGACCTTGGAAAGTCATTTGAAGGTCACATAAAAGTCACCTTCAATTTCTTAAATTGAACCCACTATTTTTCATTACATATTCTTGTAGCTTATCTCGAGAGCTTTCCAAAACACTACAGACAAATGTTTTTTCATTAAATACTTTTTGAGTTATAAGGCTTCAAAGTTTACAGTACTTCGATATAAAATGCAAAATATCTCGTAAAATATTTAGTTTTCGGTAGTCTTACCCTAATACTTTTATGCACAGGATAATGAGACAAAACTATTGGTGCAAAGAAAACGCATGATTGTTTATAACAAAAAGTGCATTGCAAATTACACATTTTTTATCATAAACAATCATACGTTTTCTTTGCACCAATAGTTTTGTCTCATTATCCTGTGCATAAAAGTATTAGGGTAAGACTACCGAAAACTAAATATTTTACGAGATATTTTGCATTTTATATCGAAGTATTGCAAATTTTGAAGCCTTATAACTCAAAAAGTATTTAATGAAAAAACATTTGTCTGTAGTGTTTTGGAAAGCTCTCGAGATAAGCTACAAGAATATGTAATGAAAAATAGTGGGTTCAATTTAAGAAATTGAAGGTGACTTTTATGTGACCTTCAAATGACTTTCCAAGGTCAAACCAATGCTACCATCTTATGTCCCCCTTCACACCCTACAATTTTTGTTTGAAACATTTTTCTGTATCTCCTATAGTTTTCGAGAAATTTTAGTCCGTCACTTAAAATGACTCACCCTGTATATATATATATATATATATATATATATATATATATATATATATATATACATATATTGCAGTTATAATTTAAAATTACGTATGCGTATATGTATTTCCTCTATATTGGAATATAAGACACATAGTTGTAAAAAGTAGGTGTGTATGAAAAAACTAGTATAAAAATAATATAGGCATGAACTCACCAAGGCAATACATAATTTTTGACATTTTTCAAGTCCTTCTCGATCACAGCTCACATTGCATGGAAGCATGTGTTGTATTATCGGTTCTGTGCCCGGAACAGCGAACACCGCGCAATTACAAGCGCTCTTCATAACTTCCTTTTGCCTTGAAGAATAGAATTTTTTACAAACATACAATTGCAATCGTATTAATGATTGTAAAGTGAAAAATAAATACAATCCATTGAACGCTCTCAAAGGGTCTTCTATTGAATTCGCAAAAAAAAAAACTTTTAATTTACCAGTAATAATTTCCAAGAAAGAAAGAGTATATAATTTATGTTAAATCAATAACTGTTCGTAAAAAAATTAATAATTATTATATCATTTTATTTCAATTTATTATTGAGATTAACAGTTTCTAACTAGTATTAATATATTTAACGTATAATTGAATATAATTCGTTCAAAAATTGATATGTCTCTTTTATATAAAAATACATAAAACCCACGAAAATGTAAAAATGCTAAAATATATGTTTCAAATTACGATCTCTTACATTGTCAAATGCACAATTGTAATTACGGAAATAAAATACACCACTCTTTTCATTGCACTCCAATTAGATCTCGTTACGTCACGAATAAACCTCACCGCGATTATCACGGACGATCAAACGGAACGTAACACAGGTATATATATATAGACCCATGTAATCACCTCTACCCTCCTCTAAGTACACGCAACGGAATGCACGCGTAATCACGTGATGCCATTGTTAATCGCGGCATCCTCTTCGCAACGGATTCGAATTTTACGTCAATATTCAACAATGCATTCTCACAGTGATAATCACCATCACGCGACGTAATTCGAGAATATATCGAACATACAAGTTTATTGATGTGTACGTGTCCTCTACGTAACGATACTGTCGCTTTGCTAAAAAATGTACGCAAAATTCCCATTAACGCGAACGCCATTAAACGAGCACACGTGGACGCATTGTTTTGACATTTTATCGATCCCATGTGCTCGACTCTTTTGTGTATCCACACCTTTTTAAAATTCCATTTATTCATACCTTCAAAGCTTAGTTCCTGAAAAATCCCCTTCATCGGGGAGTTTGTAATTATAATTTTTTGGAAGTTACATACAAAGTAAGCGAAATTGTTTTGTTACATTTTAAACAGCAATTTATTCCAAAATGATCAAAGAATCTATCTTAATAAATATGAAACATTTTCTAATATACATATATATGTATAAATCAAATTAAAATTCTTGGTGGATGTAAATTAGATTCAGGATATTCAATACTATATAATATTATTTATTTATTATTAATTAACTTATTTTCATTTTAAAAATCTTTGTGTACAGTTAATCAAGTTGGCTACGAATTTCCCAAGAAACAACCGATAAATATTGACATCGATACAAAGTATTATAATTTGAGCTTAGAATTCTGTAACTTTTCAGAAAATTTATTATAATAAGTTTCTTTCCGATAGAAGTCCGGAAATAAAGATTCTGGAATTATATTTATTTATATTAATGTATAATAATATATTATTATAATTATACACATTTAAATTAATATATAATAGGTATATAAAAACTGTACATTTTATAAAATTGATATTCATTCTTTGTAAGTAAAATTTTATCAAGCTTCGATGAAACTGTCGCAGAATATTCTTATCCAAAAATTATAATATAATTATAATATATTTATTATAATATATTTTTTCGATTTTTGATTTTTCCGTTGATTTTTCTCCACCAATTCTGCGACCCATAATACCATGATACCCGGTACAAGCGACGATGCAATCAGTGCAGTGGCACAACCTAGTCATGTGACGACGAAGGAGTGCCTGACGATGCGCCGTCTGTTTCCACTCCTCGCTCGATATCGACATGGCGGCTCTAACCAAAGGTGCGGCAATCATTGTATGATTATAAATACATACGTATCCCTATAAATACAAAAATAAACATTTTTACCGTTTAAGTATTATATCATAGTCATTGTATCATACGCGATCACGTTTTCGTAGACACGGGTGAAATCTGGAGCCGATTATTCGATCATCGTCCGTTCGTCCAAGGAGAAATAACATTTTTCTTACGAGAATTTCAGGTAAGCGCCCCGATTGCGAGCTCCAAAGCAATATTATCTTAATCATCAGAGCAATGTTGATAGGACTATAAACTAGATTTAATTAAAAAATATTTGATTAAAATATGATATATGAACATAACCTAATGTTTGACATTTAAAGTATCATTGTAAATAAAGATGTTAACAGAAACTATAACTGCTATTGTCCACAGTCGCAATTTCTTTAATTTAAACTTCTTCTTTTAATTATTAACTATCAGTTTTTATGCCATTCTTTTCATATATTCCAAAGTAAATATCGATTTAATATATTTGAAATTTTTATATATATTAACAATTTAAAAATATTAATTTATGTAGATTTTTGAAACCGTTAAATTTAGATAATTGTGTTTGTTTTAGGAAAAAAGGGCTGATAGAGAAGTGGAACGTCTTTTTAAAATACTTGAATATTCAACAGAATTGAAAGAAAGCCAATTGGATCGTACTGAACAACTTGGAGATTGTCATTTACCTAGTCTTAAAGCAAATGTGGATGTTGCACTGAGTATGTGTAGCCGTGTTTTACAAAGAGAAGAAAATTTTGATAGTGTATGTGTATTAAATATATTTTATGTTTACCTAAATTGATATTTTTGAGATTATAAATTTTTAATTCATACTTTGATGTTACAGGACAGTGTGTTGAATGAAAACAGATTAGCCAGAAGAAAAGAGTGGGAGAAATTCATAAATGATATGAGCGATAAGTGTCAGAGAGTAGATCAAACGTTCCAAGAAAAAGAAAACGAGATACAGGAATTTTATGTTGATTTGGAAAAAAAGTTACACATTACTCCCTAAGATTAAGCATTAATCCTTAATCTATACATTATCTTTTAGTACTTAAACATTTAATAAAGATTTAATCTATGCAAGTTATTAAAAAGGAATAGTTCACATAAAAATTTACATAAATATGCCATTAGAATCAATCACAGATCCTACTATAACAATAAAACCATCTATAAGATTAATAGATTTTATCTTAAATAATGTAAAAGACATAAACGATGCTCCAGATGGTATCATATTTTTATGCAAATCTAAGAAATCTAAGAAAGAAAAGATTACAAATGCTACATTAAAAATTGAAGATCTTAGCTGGTTGAACAAATATTTAAAGGAATATAGAAAAACCGCGACAAAAATGATTTACTTGCATGAACTTTTCAATGATTGTGATGTGATATTGCCAATACCAAAGGAATCGCCAAGAAATCCGGAGTTGGAGGCCAGAATACAAAAATTAAAAGCACAACAAAATGCTAGGGAATATCAAACCATGACAAAAAACATCGATTCTATGCGGAAATTTCTACCAGAAGATAGCATTGCATATCAAAGTAACCAAAAGATTTCTATTATTATTTGTTTTATTTTTTTATTAATATATATATATATATAATGTCTCTTTTTAATATTATTTACAGTGAAGCAGATAAATAAACAATTGATTGCTGTTGCACAATTTATAATTTCTGTGATAACCGGCTTTGTTTTTGGATTTATTGGGATAGAGCTTATGGTTGGAAATCTAGACTTCGGATTTAGATTACTCCTAGGTATAATTTGCGCATTGATCATTGCATTAGCCGAGATTTATTTTTTAGCTGTGAAATTAAGCGAGACCGATACCACATCTAAACCGATAAAATCGCATCAAGACTAGCAATCCAACTGTATTTGTCTATTTAAACATATGTATTTTATTATAATAAATATAGACAGTATAATTTAATATTCATACATAAGCTACATAAATTAACTTTATTATCTTTATATTGTACGAAAATTTTAAAGACATATGCTACATGTATATTGATTGTTATATAAGATACAAAAATTATTAAATACCCTAAATAAAATAAGATATAGGGATATCTGCACAATTTATTTTTTATAATATATAAAATCTCCAATTTTATATATATACTAAGTGTGCAATTATAAATAAATACCATGATTTTTAATACAAGAAACAATAATCACATAATTAATTAAATGAATGTGCTTATGTGATATCAATGAATATTATGAGATATATATGTACAAAAATATTATGAGATATATAGAAATATAAATGAAAGCAATATATTTGAAATATGCTTATTATATAAAATGGCGATTCACATTTATGATCATTTACAGACATATAAAAATAAGATCTTTTCTTTTAAGATAAGTTTTCATAGTCTTTTGGACCATTTTGTTATTTGATTTGCTTAATTATTTCTATTGATATATAGATATGCAAAAAGTCTTGATATTAATAAATTTATACAGATAATTTTATCAAAAAGAATACTCGTAAATTTGTTAAATAATCAGAATGTTTATCTGCTGAATATAAAGAGAGCAATGATACTCATCTCTTATTGTCTTCGCTATCACTTTTTATACTACTTTCACTATCTGAATGACAAGCACCGTTCTCTTTAGTTTCACTTTCTCGCTCACTACCTGACGTATTCCCATTCTCTGCTTTTGTTTCGTCACTGTCTGAACAAGAATCTGTATCTGAATCACTATCGCTGTCTGAATCCGAACTGCTCTCGGAAGAACTACTGTGAGATGCATTCTTAGCTGCCATCATTTCTTTGAACTGTCTGACTGTAATCTTTCTGGGCATTATTTCTCTGAGAAATTCCAATGTGTCGTTTGTCTGTACCACTTCTGCCAAATGTTTATAATCCAAAGAAGATCCTTTGTTACTCTGCATATGTGCCTCTTCTGTTATATAATGTATGAAGAGTTCCTATAAGATATCGAAGCAATACTAATAAAATAATGAAATCTATTATATAATTATGATCATGCATTATATCATTGAATTCCTCTTAACACTGAATGAATTATTGTTAACAATCTTATCGTAAATCTTATCGTAATGCGATTATATAAATATATTCTTTGATTTTTAGTTTATATACTTCATTCTTACCGTAGCTTTTGTAACCAAATACAATCCATCCTGTCCGACAGTATCAACATAAGGAGAACTTTTCATGATTGTTTTTACCCTCGAGATTGGTAACCGTAATTCTTTCATTTTTGCAGAAGAATGTGCTTGTGCACTCATATTCAATAGAAAAGAAGTCAAGCAAATAAAATTAAACACGAAGCCGCAAAAAAAATAATAATTGTTGATAATAATAAATCATAGATACACAATTTGAAGTATACAATTAATTCATTGATGTTCACAGATTGATGCTTCGCAGGCGTTAGCGTCAGTTATAAAGCATAGATTCGAAAGTTATGATGAAGCTCTACGAGGTGAAAATTTAGCTCTTGCGATACGCCGAAAGAGCGTTAAAGTGCAATTTCATTGGCGCTAAAAAGTAGCGTCAATTGGTTAAACAATGAAGCAACTACTTACTTCTTTGTTCAACCAATGGTTGACGCTACTTTTTAGCGTCAATGAAATTGCATCTTTACAATAACCAATCAATTTCTTCCTTTACTGGTAAAAATTATATGACAAAGATGATTGGCTTAATTTTCACTAGGCTAAGGTTACTAGACATTCTTCGAAATAAATTTATAAATTTTGTAAATAAATGTATATATATTTTCAATATTTCACTTATGTATATTTTGCGAAAATGCAACTTGTCAAGATCTAACCTAGCTTACCGAATTTTGTTTCAGTGGTTGGCATCACTACTTAACTACTAGTTAAGCTAACTGGCCACTGTTGGAACGGGCCTAAATTTCCATGTATCATAGCTATTTTTATATTTATAAATTTTATTCATATTTATAAATTATTATAGTATTATATATAGCAATAAAAAAATAGTATTATATATATGTTATATTGAGATTTCTCTCATAATAAATTTATATATAAGACTTTTTTTATTATTACACAAATTGTATTTGAAATGTCGCATTTAACAAAATTTTCTAATATAAATACATAAAGAAAAAATAAATATTAAAAATTATACTTTTAACGCAAAATAAAAATATTACAAATTTTATCGCATTTTAGATGTAATTTAGGTGTAATTATTTTAATATCCATTCGCAAAAGGCGGATATTTAATAAAAAATCGATACACATCGCAGTCATGACAAAACGTATTTATAAAGCCCGATAACGATAAAATTCCATAACTAAGTAACTAACATTAATACCTGCACATAATGTAGTAATATATATTAACAATATTATTGGTAGTGTGGATAATATCAGATGCGTTTTATGAAGTATTTCAATATCTGAAATATGAAGAAAACAATAAATATATATAATAAGAAAACAAAAATCAATTATTCAAAGTAAAAACTTTGCACTTTTAATGTATATACTTACTTGCATAACCAAGAAATGTAATGTAAATATAATAACTGACAGCTATAAACCAAAAAGTATTCCCAACAAATCGTGCCGAGAATGTATCATTGTTTATCAAAGCTGTAAAAGAGAATTAAAAATATTAAATATTATTTGAGATGATAAAAGAGAGAGAGAGACATGTAAGACCTACCATTGTACAGAAATAATTGTAAGATATGAAGTATAATTAAAGGAGGAAATACTGCATTTAAATGAATATCAAATGCATAGCCCCATTCAACATCTTGAGTTCTATCTATCCTAAGATAGCGATTTGTTATAAACCTTATAAAAGAAAAAATATAAAACTTATTATATAAAACTATTATAAGATATAATTTGTAAAAACAATGTGACAAGAGATCTGAAGATATTTAGTACACTTACCAAAATATTGTTGCTATTAATAATCCCACACCTATATAATCGATGAAAACCATATAAAATAACAACTTCACAAATTGGAAGAATCTTAAGCTTAATACTATAGCAAAACCAATGGTTGAGATGCAGAGGCAGCATGTAACCAGCACTAAAAATGCAGGATCATCTCTTGCAAATTGTGATTTTGTTTCTGTAAAAACATATAGTGTATTAGATAAGTCACGATATATCTTTTAGCATACTTATTAAGTGATAACATACGTTTTCTGTTTTGGAAGTTTCTGTATACTTTTTGCGGTGCTACAAATAGAAATATCATTTGCCAGACAGCAAACTCAAAGTCCATTTGTTCGAATTTCAATAGTTTTCTCAAATACTTGTAACACTTTGTCGCAGCACCCATACAATTATGCCTATAATGTGATAATCGTTCTTTTCGTAAAAAGATGTTCAAACGAAACAAAAATTAATACGCGTACAAATGACATGACATAGTACCTGTAAACGATGGGCATTGGCAATGAAGATGAGAATTCTGTCGGGACAGGTGAATGACATCGACTCGCCGGTGGCGAAGTAGAATACTTCATTTTTAATTCTTTTTATGCAAAGTTTTCCTTCCTCGCTACTCTCTTAATGTCTTATATGTACAATTATTTTGAGGCATTTAGCTAAGTAAGCGCACTCGTAACACCCTCGTCATTCGCAAATCGAGCTCTAGATTCTAGGTTACGTTAACGTGTTATGACAAACTTGAAAATCTCGTCGTGCAACGCCCTCGCGGCAAATATCGTGACCAAAAAAAGTCAAATCATATGACTGATAAGAAATTTTATGGAAAAGGAATGTAATACAAATTTATGATGATATCGATGCTCTCTGTGATTATTAATGTCTCAATCAAATTCATTTGATATATTAGTTATACCCTTCATATATTTTTTCTGTTTACTCTTTAAACAATATTAATTTTCCCTTTCTCCTCTTGTACATAAACTTTTCTTACTTTAAAAAATTATTTAATTTCATATATTTTTTAAATACAAATAATAATAATAAAACTATACATTTCTATGGGATATATCATAAAAAATAAGTTACATGATTATCAAGAAAAGGCATTAACTTGTTAATATATACCTTTAAATCATTGTACCTTTACTAATGATGATGTAATCATAATATTCACAGAAAGTCAAGCAATCATCAAGGAAACTGTATTACAATTTTCTATGTACATCAAATAAATAATAATTTTTTCTGTGCATATTTTATATTACTGATCAATTTGGATAGGCCTATAAAAAACGCGATATATAGTTGTTTATGCACATGTATTGCTACTTGAAAATACTATTAAAAAAACTTGGATTAAAATATTTTTACAGTTCTTTAAAAGTATAATTAATTATATTAACATTACTGTTATATTATTAATATTATAATAATTATTATTAAACTATTAAAAACACAATTTCTCTGTCTTCATGTTAAAACATATAAAGTAGAATATAATACACAAATTAGCAAATTAAGGAAAATGTTTTTATAAAATCGAAGCGTTTTCAATCCTGTAATATGTATGTATTGTGCTGTAGCACATAAAGATATTTTATATTTTGAAACGAAAAAGAGTAAAAAGGTCAGTTCTGGTCAGCAAGTAATTATGCGTATGATCAGATACAAGAGTTCATATTTTTGTGAGTATCCAAACAGAAACGTCAGTTGTTAATTTGCCTCTGCAGGACTCTGCCAATAATGCGCTTGTAGGGATAATCGTTGATTGTTACTTGGTTTGAGAGGCGTTATACAGCGAGCAGCATCCGGAAATCGCTCGTGATAACGTTCTAATCTCAGGTACTTCACAGTTACTAATTTACCTAGGAAAAAAAGAAAAAGAATCCATTAAACATTCCAGTATAATATTAAGACCTTGACTGTTATTTAATATTATTAATGCATGTATGCATTAACATTAAGAATTAACATTGGCACAGGTTGTATGAAACACCTCCATTAATCTATTGAATCAAGTTACACTATATACATATCTATTTTTAATATCCTTACATTAATATTTCGTATATCCTTGTAATAATTTTTACATTAATATCATCTAAATAGTATGTGCAAATATTTTATATTATTTTAGTTAATGAATAATCATTAATACATAATTTTTAAACAATATCTTGTTGAAAAATTAAGTACAGAGAAAACAGAATATGAGTTTATAACACGTACCATCAAACCAACATCCATGTAACGCTCTATAAGCTTCACCGGCATCTTTTTGCGACATACACTTCATATAAACGCAACCTTCACGGCTACCGATGTCTACGCGAATATGGAGTATCTTTACGCCCTCCCCGCATTTTTCCAAAATAGCGTCCTGTACTCTCGTTTCCCAATCATCTTCGGTTTCACTATCAACAAAGAACAATTAAAATCAATCGCAGTTTAATATTTAAATCATAACAGTTTAAATCATTCACACTGTCAATCTTCCTTAAATATACATATACATTTATAAATATACATATACATTATTATGACTTACATATCTGGATCAAACATATGTCTGATTTTCAAGCAAGGTGTTGGTGAACAAGTCAAACTATTAACTGAACCCTCCATCGTTTCAAATGCTTGTCCTTGCCAAACTTTCGGTTTTTTACCCGAAGACGCGTTCTGTACAGGAGATTTATTTAAAGCATTATTCGGCAACCATCGCCATACATGAAACTCTTCTCCTGCCACTTGTTGTACTTCTCGTCGAATTCTGAAAATCAGAATTATATCCCGTTATTTTTTTGTATTTTTATACGCATATAAAACAATGACGATGGATTTTTTTACCTAGATTCATTTTCGTCTAAAAACTTCACTGCCTTCTCCCAGAGACTTGTCATTCTTTTGCGATCTTTTGGTGGAATAAGATTGTCTCGCACATGATTTATGGCGAGAAAACTTTCCTGTGCACCACCAGGTTGCATGGACGCATTTTGATGATGCGTCTCAACGATACTTATAATTTCACTAACAAGCTTAAATACCTCTCTTTCCGTACATTTTTTATATTTTAAATACCAAAGATATGATTTATAAATTCCAATACCTGTTAATAAAACTGAAGATGCATAGCCACTATTACAATCTTTCATTACATATATATTTCTATTTATTATACAGAATATATCTTATAAGCAGATATTATCTTGCAAACAAAAATTTTGTAAGATGGCATTTCTTTCTTTTTTTATCTATTTATTTATATCATGTATATGTAATCATTATATATCCAAATATTAATAGATTACACTAATTGTATTATATGATAATTGTAATTAAAGAAAGAAATGCTTTATTACAGAGTAATATCAGTTTACGAGATATATTAACAATAAAATTATATCAACAGAACATAAAATTGTTTTAAGACATAACTGCTTTACTAAAGTATAATGTATCACACATAACAAATAGTGATCTTATATAAGTACATAAATAATGCATTATCATCAATTAAGCATTATCATCAAAACATGCATATGAGAAATTTCTAATGAGATAGATTCAATAGGTTTTTTCAAATAAATAGTCTGTTAGAACTTTACCAATTGCCACTATAAGGAGAGAGGAAAAGATGGTAAAAAGCTTGTTCTTAACAAGGCATTGCATTGGCAGCTCAGGATTTAGAATTGTCATTCCCAGTTTTTCATTATGACGAGCAAACAATATCTCTTCCTGCAACGATTACAAAAATAATTAATATATTTATATAATAATATGAACACATAATGGATTGACATATTATGTATTTACCAAAGCATCTAATTCTTTGAAAGTCTCTCCATTATCGTCATTTATATCAATAAGCGAAATACCCCATTTAGGATTTTTAAAGATTAAAACTTGTGCACTATGCAGATCATCCTTCACTTCAAGGCTCGTCTAAAGACAAAATAAATTATGATTGATAGTATATTATATATATTGTTATGTACAGTTATGTAGTTACTTTTAGTATTCAACTTACTACTTTCTCACTCATAAACATCTCTATAATATCCTTATCAATTAAATATGGTTTCTCATTTGAGTTCTCACATATTTTAGACACTGCCTTTTTCATTAGAATAGGATGCAAGCGTCTTATAAGTTGCAACACAGACTCTATGTTTTGTTTCAATACACAATTTACTCCAGGTTGCTTAAGATTCAGAGAGTCAACAACGAAACATTGTGGTATGTTGTTATCTATAAATACAGGAGTATATAACATTATAAATTAAGATCATTAATATATACATATATCATATATATAATATAAAATAAACTATATAATACATATAACACGGACCAATAATAATTTTTACGTGTTTTCAAATGACAAATTACTAGCTTTTTAAACAAAAACCATGTTACAACAAGAAATATTCTGCAAATAATAAAACTTTTATTCCGAAAAATAACTGTAATCCTTTAAAAAATTGATCTAAAAGAGAAATATCATTCATTGCTTTATGATTCAAAGTATTTTTCCTTTTTCCTCTATATATAAACACAAATAAATTAACAAGATTAAATAAACTGCAATTGCTAAATAGATTACTGCACATAAATTCAAAAAAATATTTGAATACTTAGAAAAATAATTGAAAATTTTTCACTAAGTTTTGCAGATTACAAAATTCGATAAATATAACAAAACCATATTATCACATCTTTTGACAAAATAATAAAGAATTTTGTTTTAAAACTAAAAAAATTAGGTAATATCTCTTAAATCAACAATTTTCTCAAATTCTTGAAATAAATTTATTTCTTAACATTAGATATATATAAATATGTATAAAAAATATATATAAAATATATATGTGTGTGTGTGTGTGTATGTATGTATGCATAAACGGGCATTATATTGTGGACTAAATTAAACGCCCGTTCGTAAATAGTGAAATATATTGAGATAGATATATAATATAGCAAAGAGATATGTAACAAAGAAAACGGGAAAAGGAAATAAAATATCCAAATTAATTCAAGAAATATGTGACATTTATTATACATGAATATAGAGAAAGAAAAATACATATTTGAAGATCTGCTTGCATATCTAACTTATAATCTTAGTGATCTTGGTTATTTTAATTTTATAAAAATAGTAATGAGAGAGATTGATTAGTAATAACGATTAGTAATAATAGAGAAGTATACAATAATTTTCGACTTTATTATAGGCTATATATTGATTTAAAAAAAGCGTATATATTATGCGCTTTGCGCTCCGTTATCTATGAGAAGCAAACATATGTATATCTTTCCTTTTGTTTTTAAATATTTCTTTAAGTTTCTGCATACCTACCCGTTGAGATTGATGGAATGGTCTCAGTTTTTCCGTCTTGATTACCAAGTCCCAGATATATTATTGCAAGGACTACAAAAAATAAAGCAAGTACTGCCACAAGGCCCATTGATACAATATTCTGATTGTTTCGTACATCTTCCCTTGTATTCGTCGTTGATGGTTTGTAAGTCGTTCTACTAATGATATCCCGGACTCTATCGACGGATGACGCGTTGTGTCTCGAACTAAACAATGTTTGCCTACATTATATTATACATATAATAATTCAAATAAAATAATAATTTATATATACCTTGATGATTGGCTCGATGGTGAATACATGGTCCTTAAAGATGAAAAATGACCATTTGAATCTCTTTCTTTTACTTCTGGTAGACCAGATGACAGAGTGTGTCGTAATGTAGGATCTAAATAAAAAAATTTTGCAAATTAAAATTTGCAAATCAACAGGCGATTTTATAGCATTAATATAATTATTAAAATACAATATAATTATTAAAATCCTCCCATTTAAACAACTATGTTGTCAACTGATTTAATCAAAAATATATGCTTTTCACAAGTGTCAGAAAAATGTACATAATAAAATTATAAATTTTTTTAATTTTCATATAATTTAATAAAATTTTCATTTTAAACTTAATTATAAAGATATATAATGTTTAAAAGTTATATAATTTCTTTAACATTTCTCCTAAAGAAAAATTAAATTGATTAATAAAACTATGATTATATAACAATATTTAAAAGCTCTAAAATATAGAATCAATATATTATATCAGCAATAAATTATACCTAAATTTGAAATAAATAAAATTAAAACTCATTATAAATGTATTTCCCCCACATGATACAATTTAAAAAATTCTTTTCTCTTTTTAATCAAATTTTGTATGTATAACTTTTACATTTTTCTTATGCTTGAAACAAATAATTTTAATAATTAAAATATATTAGATTTTACCATACATATAGAAGAAAATGCGCTTACTTTTTAATGTTGATGGTGATGTATTTATCAGCGATCGTGAACTAAGTCTTCTTGTAAACTCTGATAAAAATGGAGTTTCATAGTTTGCAAGAAGGTCTCTCTGATTTGTATCTCTTCCACTCGCGTCTTCTTTTGTAAATTGAATCGAGGAGACACTTGGTTTTAAAGGAGAAACATTATATTTCGTGTCCTTTGTTATATGAACAGGTCTGGTTTTCGATGTTTGATCATAATCAAACATTCCACGATCATGTACTCGAGAATCGGACAATCTGCTACTCGGACTGGATAGGTACCTATCATATGAACGTGCATGTGTGCTTCCAGTATCTTCCACTGCATCCGAGTCTGATCCAGTCTCTAAACCATCTGACACATAGGATGATCTTTGTGTCTTGATAAGTTTATTGTGTGTAGTTTTTGATGTTACACGAGTCATAGAAGACACGCTCGAATTATCGAAATCTATTGCATTAGGATCCTTGAATTCTGAATGAGATGGCGATATATTCTCTTTAACTAGTTTCTTTGTTACATTTGTAACATCAGGAATAATCGAAGGTGGAGGCATGGGATTCGCTAGCGTCTGCCGACGTAAATTTGCACTCTTTTTCTTCTTAATGACATTGTTTGTGTCGTCGTCTGTATCATCGCTGCTATATCTAATACACAGATGGAAAAAAATATTGGATAAAGATGCAAATATAAAATATATATGTATTTCTTATTATTATTTATTACTTAAAAATATTCTAATTATATAATTGAAAATAAAGCAAACTTTTCTAGAGTCCATCTTACTAATATTATTGAAATTCTCTTTGCGAGATTTTCTGATCTGACAGAATAAATGCTTTTAAATATTATCCTATCTATTTCAAAAACATAATAATTTCAAGAAAATTAAATAGTGACTCGTGCAACAAGAAAAAACTTTGTATCATATTTCATAAACAAAACAAGACATAAATATTGTGTCGATCTATACATTTTTTCTATTTAATATTGAAAATTATAATTCTGATATAAATACATCAGAAGAAAATTGTTTTATCTATCCATGAGTAAACGTAAAAATGACACTAGCGTGCTAATATATGTGAAATTTAAATGTTACTCGACAAAATTATATCTCATTTCTGATTTAGCATTTGACTTTTTGTATTTCATTTCTGATTTAACATTTGACTTTTCTCCCACTCTTTCTCTTTCAGATAGCAAATACATGCTTGTTACGAGCGCGAAGAATGTATATAAATATGACATAGCTAAAGGAGAAGCTTCTTCAGGACATCTTCACTGAGGAAAAGCTCACCTTGCGGCCAAAGATTGCCGGGGCCCTCCTCCTCCCCCGCTGTTACCGCCGCGGGTCTCGATGAGGTTCTTCAATTTCTTAATGTATGTACTGCGGGTCGTATGCGTCACCGGTCCCACATCGTAACCATACTCCTTCAGTTTCATCCGCACTTCGGAATCGCTCAGCGTGTCCACGTTCACCGACATTTTGTTCCTCGCTTGTGAGTCTTGTAATCGCGATCCCTACTGTAAAACAAGGTTTAGCGGCTCGGCCGTGATTACATGCAACCAGGCAGATCCCGGACGCCTGTTTTCGTTTTCTCGTTTATTTCGATCGATGATCAATCCCACCTGCTCTTCGACGATGCTCTCTGACCGCGCACGTGGACGATTATCCCGCGAAGTTAACGTAGAAACGGGAACTAAGATCGTCCGTGCGACTTGGAAACACCGCTCCGAGGGCAAGCTCCCGGTCGTCTTTTCGCGTGCACGCGATTACGGCTACTTTCCGCTAAACAATTCGACTCGCTCGGTAACTGAAAAAAAAATGGCGCAATTTTCTAACGGTCGAGATCGCGCGCATACAAGATACGCGCCTCGAGCGTATCTCTCGACGTCGGCGCGAAATCGAAGGTCTTTTAGGTCCACGATTAGGTCCTCCAATCACTGCTGCTTGCAGGCGATCGGATTGGTTAGCAGGATGGCGGCAACTTTTGAAACAAGACACACCGAATCTAGCGAACAATAGAAATCTTATTAACAATAGATGTCCAATTAATAAATTTGGGAGACATCAATATTATTTTAGATATAAGCGAGACTTAAATATATATCCATCTCTATTTTTCTTTCTAAATAAAGACAGATATATATTTAAATCTCGCTTAAAACCAAAATAACATTGGTGCAATTAGGTCTTAGTGATTAAAAATTGTTGAATCTAATAAACGGAAATATAAAATTACTCGATTAATTAATATTTATAATTATAATTTTGGAATAAAATGTGAATTTATAAAAATAGAGTGCATGCTTATAAAGAAAAGTTTATCATTTTCATCTTGCTGCACATATATATCTCGGATAATATAATTTATATATTATCTCATTAAATAATCTCGAAAAAAGCGAAATATAAAAAGAAAATGTATACGTTTATATATTTTTCTTTCGTGAGCTTATACGAAATATCTAAGATTAATTTTGTTTTAAAAAAATATTCTACGATATACTTATTTAAAAAGATAATAATTGTTTCAATACTGAAAAAAAATTATTTTGAAGATTTTTAACATAGATTAAAAATATGCTAAACAGAAAATTAGAAATATATGACAGAAAACAATTTAAAATTGTTAAGAAAGAATTTAGAGTTCATCTCGCTTGAAATAAGATATATACTTATACTTATTTAGTTACAGCTTTAACGTTATATTATGTTCTTTGTACAATACAATACGTTATAACATTGGAATATGGCGCACAAATAATATGTTAACTTACGATCCATACTTATACATGTAACGATATACTTATTATGATACGTGCGATATGTATATGCTTTAAAGTACTATACAAAATGTCGCTGAGTGCTTAAATAATCGTGTGTAATATAAGTCAGCGATGACATATTTTTATGATCGTTACGTGTATTGTTGTACAATTCTATTTAACCAAAAATTGCCTAGTAAATAGATTAGAAAATGGCAAATCTGGTGACTACGTAGCGATTGTGATTCTGTCGCAAATTTGCAAACGTTGACGCGATAAGAAACATTAAATATATGTAAACTTACATCCACACATCATTAATAATATCATGTGGGAAAACTTATTTTGAAATCTTAAATATTTTAATCTATATATGTATATCGATTCCTTAATTTTATTAAAACGTATATTTGCGGATATGTTTCATTATAGATAATATATTTTTAACTTTTATATATTAATATATTTCTATTTATATTTTATCGCGTTCCTTTCCTTTTTTTTGCAAATAGACGATAGAATTACATACAGTCAGCATACACAAGACTGACATAACAGATTGTCTTATATATTATGTGCATATGATATATATAGAAATCACGAATTTATTACGCGTACACTTTGTAATCTTTTACTAATTCCTTATATCGCAATATTATTTCTTATATAATAGAGTACTATTGTAGTAAAAAGGGGGATTAAGCAGTTACAGAATATAAAATCTACCGTATAAGCGGAATATAATTTAACAATATTGTACTCAATTCTTAATAGTCTCTCAAGTTTCTCTCGTCTTTTTTCTCTCTTAATATCTGTATCAACCAAATGTTCAAAATTTAACATACAAAAGTACTTTTGCACGCCTTATCTTATTTCTTTTAAAATATATAGAAATTGTATTGTGATAATTTTCTTCTTCTGAAATCAAATCGATCAATTTCACTTTTTGTAAATTTCTTAATTATAATATCAAAGCATGATTATTGAAATTAATGAATTATTAAAATTAACAAATTTACAAAGAAAGAAATTGATCAATCTAGCTTCTAAGAAGCTTATAATCAGTTGTAAGTCAATATCAACTGATGGAGAATTCAATGCGTTAACGTAGACCGTATTCACTGTATATTGTACGCATCAGACTATTACATATTTGCGTGTGTATATAATGCTAAAAACTACATAGTTATAAAATATTATATCTATATATATATACACATATACGTACACGTATCTAATGCAGTAAATAACGCAATAAATAACATCTGCCCGAGCTGCCTCTGTCCCATCCCATACTTAACGTTTTGTGCTTTATAATTAACTTAAAAGATACATGAGGTAATAAGTTCAAGATTCGCTACAAATGATGGACATCGCTATGCATCGCTTTACAATGTTTAAAACTTTGCTTTCAAGCATTTGAAAGAGAATGATGCTGCACAAAATCCATTTCGATATACATTATCTTTTTTTTTCACAATGTTGCAATCAATGTAAAATGGATGAAGATAATGATCAGCATATACAATAATTGAGTAATGAATATATTTCAGTCAAACCATTTGTTCTATCACAAGGAATATCTATTTTTTTCAATTAATTGATTAATAAAATTCATAAATAATTAATATGTTTCAAAACAAGACTTATACATCATCTCAGCTACACCATCGTTTTAATTTAACAATAAATATTTAAAGAGCTGTCTCAGTCTACAATAAGGTTGCTTATTATAAATCAAAAAAATTTACAGCCATTATAATAAAATATAAAACTAAAATTATGAGGTTCTCTTTAGTTTAAGTTTGTTTCACACAGTATATATTAAATAAACTATGTTTTCTTCTCTCAGGATGTGTACTCTCATGCTATACATATTGAAAATTTATAACATGCAATAAAAGTGGCAGATTTCAATATATATAAATATATATACTTATATATGTATATATTGGTAATATATTTAGATTATACATACAAAAAGAAACAGAGAAGAAAGGGAGAAAGAGTAAAAAGAACCAAAAGAAAAATGTATATATGTGCATAGAAATTGACAAGTTACTAGAATATATATAGTATATATACTATATATCCTTTTGCGGAAAGGTTGAGAAAGATAATATATCACAACATATATTTTATCTTTTCTGACAATTCTTTTCTGATAAAGATAAAAAATAATAATATATAATTAAAGTAGCATCCGGAAAAAAAGATACATAGGCAAAAATTTTATAGTTACTTATCTTACAGAATATTCTCGAATTATAACTACAACTATCCAATTATAACTATCTTCACGCGAATATTCTGCAAGATAAAACAAAAATGCTATTAATGCATTTTTTTTCAAAACATTTGACGTGCCCTTTCATAGTAAAATTACACCTGATTATGTATCTCTTTTTCAATTATGATATTACTTAAGAAAATAGATACAAATTTTGTAATAAACTAGTAATTTGTAAATATCTTCTTTCTGATTATTTATAAAGTTTCGATTATGAAAATGTACAGGTTGTCCCAGTAGAAATATTCTGATTATTTGGACGGTGTTACTCGAGTATTTTTAATAAAAAAAATTTATATTTATTGAATAATATATATTTTCAGCATATTAAAAAAATGTCTATTTAACCAATGAATTGAAACTATAAACTTCTAGAAAACAGTAATTTGGTACTTTGATAATTTCTAAATTACTAACGATTTCTCTCTACTTTTTTATGTTTATTAAAATCATTACATTTTTTCAATCCTGATTTATATATATCTATATTACTTTTTTCTTAGATTTGAGTATTTCAACAGATTTTATTTTATTTTCTCTGGAACAACTTGTATAAATAAAATACAATTAAAAACTACATAAAACATATGATATGTTTATCATTGTAGAAAAACATTAATTGTGCAGGAAGAATGACAAAGAATATTATTATAGAACTTAGATATAATTGTTATGTGTATTAAATAGCGTCTAATGTATCAGGATTGAATAAATCTGGATGTTTTTATAGATCAAAAATTTTATCGGATGCTGTTTTGGCAATTTCTGTTTATGCATTACTAAAGATCCCAAAGTAAAGTTGAAAATAAATCTGTACAAAAGAATAAAACTTTTTTAAATGTGTATCTCTAAAATTTGGAGCTTTTAGCTGTAAATATTAGGGATAAAGTTAAAAGGAACGCTATTTATTTGAAAGTGAGAACAACATATTTAAGAGACTGGACGAATTTTGATATCATAAAGAATATATGTATCAAGATATTTTGACATTTTGAAAATCTAGTGCACACAAATAAGAAATCTTATTCTTTATCTAATAGAAAATAAACTTTAACAGAAAATCTATTAATTTGGCTGTTTCTTTATAATTATATTTAATATCACTTAATTATTAATTATATTTAATTATATTTAATATTAAATAAAAGTGAATAAAAAAATATAAAGATTATTAGTAAACTCATTAATTGATATCAGTTGTGTACATTTGTTGTTATTTATGCAAAAGAAATATGAAATTTTTGCTTGAATTATTTTTTATATCTCAAACTCGGTGGAATACGATATTCTTATTAATTTAGTTTATGAACAATAAATGTAGCATCGTCGCATATATTATACGCGCAGAGAGATAAGCCTTCCAATTTTAAATTACAATAAAAAACATACATGTATATAAAATTGTCCAAGATTATGCAAATTGTAGGAAATACATTAACAGAATCAAGCTGATAATGGTCCCGAAATTGTTAGTATAAAAATTGTGACTGTTAAATAAATTTAAAATGAGAAAATTGAAATGCTTGTTACTCTTTTTAACGAGATGTTATGATATAGTCTATGTCAAACTAATAATAATTTGAATATACATTTGTCTAATGAACTCAAATTATGTCTATTCCAGATATCTCCAAACAGCTACAATAAAAACTAACTTACAGATTCTTTGACTAGTTTTAAGTTCAATGTTTCTCAATAAAAATTTAAAATGCCATTCTTTTCCTCATCTCATCAATTTTTAGTATTAGATAATAAAGAGTCTTAATAATACAGTTTTTTTTCCTCATAATTTAGGATTTAATAAAATATTAAATACGAAAGACGAAAATTTTCTATCTTCTTATAAACATATAATAAACATTATAAAAGATTATTTTTTGTTTTTATTTTTATGTATGTTATTGTGAAGAAACATTAATGTTCTGATATTGTATTTATAATGAAAAATTTTATCAGAGAATCTGTAAGAATAGTTTTCTTTGCATTAGAGTCAAGAACACTCTATCAAAAAACCTGTCTTATAAGCTTGTATGTTTTCTCGTATGCACATGTGTCGAATTGTGAGAGCAGAAAAGGACAAAATAAATCACCTAGAGAACAACATCGGGCAGGGAGCAATGCCACTAGGCTAGCTGCGTTCCACTTCGTCCAGCGTGATGTCCCATGCCAATCATGGAACCACCACTTCCTATATCATCACGAACAGTCTTCTTTTCCTTGTAATAAATTTCTTCGCTTTCCTTCTCGCATAACAGCAATACTGCTCCACCAACCAAGAAAATGACTGCGCCCCAACCAACGCCATATGCCCAACCAAATTCCCAATTAGTTCGATTTCCTAAAAATTATATATTTTATAAATTTACAAATATGTATATTTACAAATTATTATATACATGATATATTTGTTTCTTTTTGATCTATCAAAGTCAATACAATGGAATTAATTATTGAAATCTTACCAAGATTCAATTCTGCTGCAAAACATATGGGATATATGATCAGTGCTATCAAAAGAGATACCACTGAAACAAAATAAGATATATCATTGTATAAAAATTATATAAAAAGAGACACACATATGGAAAGAAAAAAACTATGAAAAAAATAGAAAAGAAAACTTATATATTACTCACATGCAAGAGCCATACAAAACACTGCAAATCTATAATATTTGTGTTTGTCTCTGTGATCCTGTGTGCGCAAACCCAGACCAGTGAGAATTGTCGCAGCAATGTCTGTTAGAAGACAAACTACGCATAAGGCTGCAGCTGCTTTTATATAAGCTGTAATGTAAAGTACAAATTAATAATCTATTCCCTTGTTTCCTCTTATTTCATTCAATAATAAAATGAATAATACCGCTATCTCTTGCAGGATAACATCCTGGAGGATCAGGCATGTTAAAGGGAAGTGGTGTGGGGGCACCTTCCTCGATACAATGAGCGAACAAGCCCTGTCTCCATCCCAAAGCCATCAGCCAGTCAGTCGATGCCAGACCCATTATCATCAGCAATACCACTATGATACCGCATATAAATGCAATTACCTATAAAGAGACAAGCACATAAAGTAATCATGCGCAATACTTATCGTATCATCATCGAATATTATCTTCAGTTGTGGTACAATACAGAAAGATCTTAAGGACTTTAGGAAGAAAAGTATATTTTATAGACGATACCTGCGCGATCTCATTATCGCCCATGTGATCTTCCGCGACCGTATACATAATCATTTTACTTTCGAATTCGCAATCCAACTGTAAAAACACACGCGAAGGAGAGCGTAACTTCGTAGCCGAGATCGAGAAACTCTTTTAAAGACGAACGACCGAGGACATCGTCCCGGAAGGACGCTCTTAAAACATCGTCCGCAGTTTCCGACCACGTTCCAAGTACTGGCTGGCGAGAAAGAACCGAGATCCCGAATCTCTCTGAACAGTACCGCGATATGATGCAGGTCACGAAATAACGTACGATGATTTCGAGGGTTTCGCGCGACGATCGTGACTTCGCATAGTAGAGAGGGGAGAGAGAGAGATAGGGTTGATTAACGGGCGCGCGGGTCAACGGCTTTCATCGCGGCTGGCCTGCGATACATGTCGGACGAGGGCAACCCTTGCGCGAGCTATTTTTTTTTTTTCCTTTTCCGGAGCGGACGGAATGACGGACAATCTCTCACAATGGCAGTGTCGATTGGCGTCGACGCCGACGAGATACGGAGATACGGATTTTAATAATAAAATTGTAACACGCGTGCACTGTACGCACGAAAAACAAGGGGAGAAAGAGATAGAGAGGCGAGGAGGGAAAGAGAGAGGAAACCGCGTTGCTCCAACGGGAACGCACACTCTCCGCTGGGATTGGGAGGAAGCAATTGTGGATTCCAGGTTCCAGGGAGGCTGCGCCCATCAGCGCCCATTAAAGGTCGCGGCGCATTGCGCGCGAGTACCAATCTCTGCGCTCTCCTGCCTTCTTTTCTTTCTTTCTTTGCCTTTTCTTTCTTTTTGATTTCCCTCTCTCTCTTTCTTTATCTTTCTCTTTTCGTCTCTTTTCTCTTTTTTTGGTCCTCCTACTGTGTATCTCTGTCTATCCAGTCTCTCCTCATTTTTACATTTTTGCCCCGTAAACCTTCTCATTGTGTTGAACTATATTCAAATAATTTTTATTTTTGAAACAGAAACAAGAAAAATAATTATTTCCCGTAAATTTTTTGGACACTAATACGGTTTCAAATGTTATATCACAATTTTGAAAAATTTTGCGATTATGATATACAATTTTTAAAAAGAATATATTGTCTCGATTACAATCAATATATTCATAATTAAATAAGCATTCAAAATATATTCATAATTAAATAAGCATTTCAAAAGAGCTGCAAATTAGATTAAGAATCTGTCAAAATTTTAAAATATATTGTTCAAATTTAATTGTACTTGTTATGTCATATCAAAATCAACAAATTCAAACTAGCAGAATCAATATAATAAATGTCTAAATTTAAAAATGTTCGAATTTTCACAAAAGATTTATGTATATATTTTATTATTTGTAAGATTCAATACTTTATATCATTTTGATGAAAATTTGCAAAAATATAAGAGAAAAATTAATTTATGTATTATATAAAGTTTAGCTCTGAATGATATAAAAAAATTTATATATATATATATATATATATATAATAAATAATATTTTATAATATGAAATAGATATGATTAATTTGCTTATTATTAATATGTGTAATTAAACTTTTTAACTTACCTTAAGCGGTCTGGTTATAGTAAGAGTTTCAATAGTAGTTGTTTGAGACATTGTTTTTATTTTGAATTAGCTGTAAATAAAAGAGAAAACTCATAATTAAAAAAAATAATATGAATTTTGGAGAAAACAAATGTTTGCATAATCTTTAAATTATTGTGTCAAGTTAAGGAGAATAAAATAATATATTTCAATTGCATAAATAATTGCAAAAATAATGTAAAATTATTGAAATATTTTACTTGAGATATTTTATAGAAAATAAATATTATAAACTCATTTTTCTTAGGATATTTTTCTACAGGATTCTAAGAATTTATATAGAAGTGGATTTATATTTTATAAGTAAATTTATATAATTATTCTTATATTATAAATACAGATACAATCTATACAAATTTTAAACTTGTTTTTATTACTCTTATATAGAATTAAATATGAATTTAATAACAATAATATTGAATTTATAATATCTTAAGTATCGTAAATACAATATATTACAGAATATAGATATCTTATTTAAGATAAACTCTTTATTGGCATATATCGAAATCGCAAAACTGAAACAAAAAATATTGTAGTTATTGACATTTGAAAGATCTAACTAAGAGATAATTTCTTAAATATTAAATACTATTTCGAATTGAAATTTTGTTTCCATTGTCTATATTTTAATTATCCTTCTAATTCAAGTTAATCTTTTTATTCTTTTTTCCAAAACTTGAATATATACACTTGTTTGCAAAAGATGCAATTAAAACTATTATTTTGTTCTTTGCATATGTATTTGTTACTTCAAATTAATCAGATCATTGATTAATCTGAAATAATAAATATACAAATGATTCAATAAATCATATATAAAATTATTAGTTCTTGCTAATATATTGGAAATATATTTTTAAAAAATCATATTCTAACTTCGACACATACTTTCTCAAAAGGAAAATTAGTATATTTATGATCAAATCAATATCGAAAAGTTTTATCCATTTTAACTATTAAAAATTAGATGTAAATATATTACTACTACCTTTAGATAGAAAATTCTGTTTGTCCTATTGTATATGCCAACTACTGGCACAAATTGTGGATTTTAAAACTAGATGAGCACGAGATGATTACAAAGATTTCGAGAACAAATCTTGATTTTGGACACAATATGTTTGTTTGGGCTAATTTTTTCATAGAGCATATATGTAATGTACACGCACAATAATAACAAAGAGACTGTTCCTAAGCGTTAATTATTGTATAAAGTTCATTCTTATAAGACTTCACGTTTTTTCACCGATTGCAATTATGATTTTAGACACACACGACTTGCTACAACTTTTAGAAATTTATAAAGAAACATAAATTTTCACATCCTTACGAGATCTTAACGAGATGTAAATAAAGAGATATAATTGAATTAGCTCTTATTAAACAAGTATTTTAAGACTATGTGTTTAATATTTAAATGACAAACTTCGTAGAATCACGATGCGTCATTTTTTTGACAATTTACGCTTTTCTACACTCTGTCATTCAGGCTGATTCAAGCTATTTATTACAAATGGTTACAAGCAGTAGATGAATCACTACACTTTCTACAGGTAGGAAATCTCACTAATATCTGAGTGCAAATAAGCAAATAGAATGACAGTATCCTATTTTGTTGAGTCTATGCACCAATAGTCATGTGTGGGGTGAATATCTAACACAATGCGTCTGTTGAAAAAAAATTTTAACTGCACATTTTGGCTCATATTCTGAATCCTCTTTTAATAAAAATGCCTCTAAAAGTGGTTTATAAGCCTTCTGATTGGTTACAAGCCACTTTTAAAAGCATTTTTATCGATTAAAGAAAATTCAGAATATGGACCTTTAACTTTTGTCAAATTCTTACACACTAGCCAATCAATTGTTCGCTTATGAATTAGCCGTAAATCGATTGGTTATCGTGTCGTTTCTTGCGTTTAAGCCGGATATACAATAGGTAATTTAAGCCTAAGAGATTGACCAATCACAGTCAAGTATGAAGAGAATACTCGGCTGTGATTGGTCTATTTCTTAAGGCTTAGGGCTTAAATTACCTATTGTAGATGGGACCCCCTCTCTAAACCCATATTTACAAATAATATTCTATCTATAAAATTTATACCTATGGTTAACATTTTTTACTGGTTACCATCTTGTGTTGGTTACTACAATCGGCCATAATGCAACAAGGAGTCTTACGAGGATAGCACGAGGGAGGATTAAATTGTATTAAAAGGTAATAATCGAAAAAAATTATAATCTATAAAAAGAAAAGATTTTAATATTTTTTTTTTCAATAATTTGTTATTAATTAGTCGTTAAATTATTCTTTCAAATAAAAATGAAATGTATAATAGTTTGTTGAATTAAACTGCTCGCATTATGTATCCTTTGTAATCCACGTGCATCCACTATGATTGTTTGTTCCATTCTAATATATATGCTCATAATAGAATTCAGTATAAATAATTAAATTTGAGCTGTATTTATTATAATTTCTTTTTTTTAAATAGAAGGAAGCGATTATGATAATTTTATTATAAAGCATGCATCGTTCTTTTATAGATAGATCTAAAAGGATGAAATTGTTTAAGTATGAAATTACATGATTATTCATACATGCACTACCAACTGAAATATTTTATATATATTTGTTTATTAAAATGGAGTTTAAATATATAAATTATACTATTTTTTTTTTTTTTTTTTCAGAATTATATGATGCATATAGACATAAATTCATTATTGCAGCAAAGGTGAGGATCATTATTTATTTTATATGTATATTAAATATGTTTCTAATGTATAAATACAAGTAATATATGATGAAATATTAGATGTATGAAACAATGGGATGAAATTCTTAACAAATTTTTATCCTCTTATGATTATTTCTACATGCACTACCATCTGATGTAAATTAAAAATTTTTTATGAAAAATATTTAAAGTGTTGAAAATATAACTAATTTACCATATTTTTACAGTATAGTAAAATACGATAAAAAAGTCTACATGGATAAAAATGACGACAGATGATGAATAGTGTAAGTATATGTAAATAAATATACAAAAGGGAATATTAAAATTAATGAGACTAATTATTCCAAAGAATTTAAAGATTATTTTTACTTAATATGTTTATTTGCTGCATAATAAAATTTGTGGAAATAAAAACTGAAAATATTTATATTTTTTTATCAATAAATTGAATTTTATATTTTAAATGTACAATAAATGCAATAAAACAAATGTATATTATAATGTAAAAGGACTGTTTTTTAAAAAAAGATCATATTAAAAAATATTGAAAGATTAAATAAATAATGTCATTCAAAATTTTGTCTGATTACTATTTGATACATCCTCCAACACATAATTAATCATATAGAATTACTGTGTAATCAATATATTACATACATTTTGTTCAATAAATGTCAAAATATATATTTGTATACTTTTTCTAAACTTGTAAAATAAATATATTTTTAATATATACAAAAAATAGAAAAATTGATACTTGTCAAACACATTGTAGAGTTAACATCAAAAGGTACAAGATTATTAGTTATTCTATATTGTATTATAGAGACGAATAAAGCAATAACTAATATATATTGCACAAGGTTTTCGAATAGGTAATCCTCAATTTTGATAAATTTTTCTAATAAGGATTATAATATTTTAAAGTTCACAAAAATTGCTTTTGAAGCACATAAAAAGGGAAGACAGTATAGTCTAATAAGTAAAGTAAATAAACCTTTAACAAGTATCAAAAATTGATAACTGCAATGGCAGTAATAAAATGCACATTTAAAGGATACGGCACATTTATTATCTCTAATGGTTCTTTCACTTTTTCTTTTCTTTTTTTTTTTTTTCTTAAGCAATGTTTCATAAATTGACAATGTTCAATATGCATATCAGCATTACAAAACTACGAATGATTATGGATTAGTAAAATACGAAACTCTAAACAATTTTCACTGAAATACGAATTTTCTGATACATATTATTTCAGTATAATAAATTCAAAATTATTTATATCAATAAAGTAACAACTAAAGTTTTCATTTACGCTACGTCATCAATTGCAACGAGTCTTGTTAAAAAAATTATTTTCTTTATTTGGATTTTTAACGTTATTTCTTCATAGAATCACGCATAATATTCACAATACATTGCGCGAATTTCCAATTGTGTCAGTAACTGGTTTCGGTTCGACAACGATGAGATTATGCAGAAACGCGAGTTCTGTATTATTTTAAAAAAATAATACAATTCTCGTGATAGAGTTGCATATGTGTGTATGTGTATGTGTGTGTGTCAAGTATACATAAAACTATATTAATATACTTTAAAAATATCATATATATATATATATAATATATATATCTACCCATATTTACCTACAACATATTTTCCTTCATACGTATATACATACATATACATATATTGCGCGTTGCTTCTTTTTTGTTGCAATCAATCATATGTATATGTATACCGCAAGTATACTTAAATCTTCAAGGCACTCCTGATGTATATTACATTTATATTTTACAAGTATTGTGTTGTCCAGCATTTGAACGGGGCATTTTGACGAGAGACGCAAAACAGAAATTATTTTACTAATTTTAAGAGCGATATAAAATACCGCTCTGTGTACGAGCATTTATACAACAAACGGAAAAGCGATGCAGACATTATGGAAATTGGAGAGATGCGTCTTTTTTTCTTTTTTTTTTTCTCTTTTTTTTATACCACTTTCAAATTGCAATTATCGTATAACTATCTTTATAATTTTCTATGTACGATGCCAAGATTCTTCCATAGAATATTCAAATTTAAAACAAGCATATTAAAAGCGGATCTTTTTCAGCGTTGCATTGCATGCTTCCCAATTTTTTGTGAAACCAGTATATAAATAATATATAAATGGTTTCGTTATTTTATTTTATAATACAGATCTTGCATTAAAGCCCGTTTCAATAGAAGGCGCGTCTTGCTTTCTCTTTGTCGTCCCGCAACACGATTTCCACAAATATAACGGAAAGAAACTTCTTTGTGATCATTAAATAGCTGATTTTTATCCATTTTTAGCATAAAATAAATTGCAAAGCAAGGCATGTCTTTATCTAATACAAACGGGCGGTAAACAGTAATTACTAAACAAACATGTATACTACATGCCAGTTAAGTTATTAACGCGATCCAAGTTTCAAACTATGAAATCGAAATTTCTTCAAATATGTAGATTTGATTCCGAATGCTCGGAATAAGCTATTAGATTTATCCAAAAAATAGATTGATATACCAAATATTGCCTATATACGTGTTTGCTGCCTCCGTGTCTCATATAACTTTGGCTTCCCGCTTTAGTAATAGCAAGTTTCACAAGCCTTCATATTCGTTACTTAAATATAGTATGTTACAGAGAAACGCTTATTTATAAGAATGCATGTACATCACCATCACTTACCCCTAGTAACATTTAGGTATTAATGTACACAAACAAGACATGTACAGATTCTTCGACTGGATAAAAGTTTTGATACACTGTTGCGCAAACTTCAAATACCAATCTCAGTCGGTTTTCTGCTGATATAATTCTTTTAATGATTTCAGTTCGTCGATTAACGTCTGATTCCTGTTCTCCAATACCGCAACACGATTTTCTAAGCACTTTATATATTCCTTCTTTTTTCTCCTACATTCACGCGCCGCCTCTCTAAACACATTAAAGATATAAAAATGATGTAAGAATATTTTTCATTGCAAAAAAAGATATTTTTAATTTTATATAAGATTTCTCTGTACGAATGCATCTGTGGAAGTCTTACCTGTTTTTAAGCAACCTTAACTCTCTCTTTCGCGCCGCATCTTCCACTACAACTCCATGACCTGTGTAAGCTGAAACATTGTCAGAGACTGCACTTTCCAAATTTTTGCATTACGCACGTTAAAATTTTATATGACTTTCTATTACTTATTTTGCTTGATAAGAATTGCTATCATATTTATCAAAAGAACATAGCTTAGACAATATTGAACAAACTGTATTATCAAATTTTTATAATGTATGTATCACTAATATATTAATGCAATCATATATTGTGCATATATACATATATATACTTTTTTTTATATATTAATCAAACTATAACTATACATAATAAAGCAATATTAATTTGCTGAAAAAAAGAGAGAAATTACAATAATGTATTATTTATAATAAATAATACAATATTGTGTTATAAAAGCAAAACATCGAGAAAATAAAACTTTCTGACATCTCGGAAATGATGCAAAAGCACACCTGGGACAAAAAATTGAGTGTCCTGGCCCTGTGCATACTGCACTATAGCTCCACCCGCTGTCGCCGCGTTGCTCATAGTTAATGTGTGAAGCCCCGGAACTCCCTCCCCTTGGGTCGCAATTTGAATAGTACCGGCAGGAATTACTGTAAAATAAATTATATCGGAGATGTATAACGTATATATAAAGGAAATTAATTTGTAAATAACGATATGTCGCGCGTGCATCACAATAATGCAATGCTGTAAATGATAATGCGCTTGCATTGAAAAAGATTTTATATGCGTGACAATATGATGCTCTTACTGCGTCTTTAATATCTCATTCGAAAGATAATCTTTTAAGATATATTAGCGCTTTTTCCCCCGCATGATTCGAATGAAAAAGTATATCGACAACATCCCATAAGCAAGAATGCCACACCAAGCGAGTATCGTGAAAAATGATATATCACGTATTAGGCAGTACACACAGGGATGGAAGACAATTGTAAATGTGAGAGTGTGCATCTTTTGATTTATACAATTCGTTTTGTTTTTCTTTCTTTTTTTTTAAGTACCCTTCTAACATCATCTCCTTTAGTATGCAGAAGAATACAAGAATACAAAAAAACTACATATATATATATATATATAGACAGCCTGTGGAATGTAATACAGCCAGGAAAGATATGTAAAAGGAAGATAAAGTAACCAACCTGTTTGGTAATGGAGCGAATGGGAAGACACTTCACTGTCCACGTTAGAATCACACTCGGAAGATGATTCTAAGGGGGGCAAACGACCGTCTGTAACACCGAATCAATCCAAACCCCCATTAGCTCGTAACCGATATTGCTAGTATGTATGCGTCATTCTATGTACAATGTACCGCATTTTTCTTTTTTTCCAGAGTAATTTTTTTTAACATAATGATAAATGAAAAGAACAAAATAAGAATTTGTCATATGGCTGTAATTTGATGATTTCTTTTCTGGCTGTTGATTATAATTGTATATTTATCATTTACGTTGTGTGCAGTCAGCTCATACGAAAAAAGAATAGAAAATATTTTTATTAAATTTATTTTGAAAATAATTTATTTACCATTAGATAAAAAATAATATCAGATTTATCAAAATAATTATTTGTATAAATGATATTAGTCATTCTGCATATAAATGAATGCAAAGTATATTCTATGAAAATAAATTTGTATAATTACATATATGTATTGATATATCTTATTTCTATATAAATTTTGCAATAGAATTTTGTGATACAAAATATACTAACAGCAAGAGAATGACGCGGTTTATAATTTGCAAAAAGATTATCCTACTTTTAATTTGCTCGAGAAATAAATTTAAAAAAAGTTTATTTTTATTTATGTATTTTATGCTATATGTAATAATATCATACATCGAGAATTTTCTTTTATTTAAATATGTTTCTGTTATATAATATATATTGTTCTTTTCATTTATCAAAAATCGATATTTGTAATATTGATAAATTCCTGTCACCTGATCTTACCTTTTAATATACTCTGCATACATTAGAAATTAATCAAAAAATATAAATTTCAAGCTAATAATTATTCATAGTGTATCATGGTGGACAACAATGTTCGCTGAATGAGAAGAAATTATTTTTTCCGAATCAAGGTTGACAATTTTGGGTTTCCTTTTATCCAATTTCTTTTGAAGTACAGGTTTTATCTTTTCTAATCTTTCTTAAATTTCTTCTTCGGTTACTTATTGTTTAATATAACATTATGATAAGTCAAAAGAGCAATCTATGCACAAATTCTTTCAAAATCTTAACTTTTTCACATCTGAATTTCCACATTTGTTTTCAAAGTTAACAATTTACTGTCTCCAATATGTATATATTGTACAGTACAAGCTTGGTATGGCATACTTTTCTTATACATGCAATGGCAAAATATACAATTATGGTGTATAAGATTTCTCAACATTGTATACACTTATTGTATATTGAAAGACCTTTCGTTATTTGCGATTTAAATTACTAAAGTGTGTTTAAAAGTTTTAACATATTAAATATTCATCATACTACAGCTGTGGCAACAGCATAATACATATCTCAATATTTACAAGAATTAAAAAAAAGAAAAGGATACTATCTTCGAAATATCATTAAAATTAAATATAATTGAAGTTCTTTAGACACATACAATTTTGAAAAATATATATATAAGAGTGTACAAGTTACTACATTATTCTTCTTGTATTTACATATATATTCATATTAATTTGTATGAACTGACATGCACTCAAACATCTTATATAATCGAGTAAAAAAAGCTAATGTAATTATTTATCTGTTATATTTCTTCTACAATTTGTATTTGCAACGAAATGTTAAGTAAACTATACAGATGAAACAGTTTTTCTTGATATTGTGTGAATTTCTATCATATGATGTGTCTATGAGAATTTAAAAGAAAAAAACATTATCTTACCTGTAATTTCTCCCCCGCCTAAATCGTTGAGGATTTTTCTATAAGATGGTCGTCTGGTAAGAATATTCCTCTTCTTAGGTGAATCCTCATCTGAGAAACTGTCATCGCTACCAGTCTCGACAACCTTAATCAAAAGAGAATTTATCAATTATTTCTAATACTTTATTATTAAATTATTAAAATACATCTATTTTTTACATATACAATAGATATAATTGAATTATACATTCTGATATCTAAAGAAACAACAAAAAATAATAAAAAATTTATACAACTTACCTGAAGAGTCTGCAAACTACCCTGTGCAGTTTGTATAACAGAATTAGGTTTGCTAACCAGGATAACGTTTCCTTTAGAGATGGCAACAGGCTGTATATTCGTCGCGGTTTGTATTACAGACTGTTGATTGGGTTGTATGACCGATTGCACCTACATAAAGGTCACACAAATGTCAAGTATTACAAAAGGTTACATCATTAAAACTATACTTATAGATACACATACGGACACACATGGTCACATTATTCCTTATATATATATTTAAAACGAGTATAATATTATACAGGCATCAATATCCAATGATATTATAATTAGTTGTAATAAAAAGGAATAATGTACATGTAATTTGTCTCGTATAATGTAAGGAGAATCGCACAAAGCCTTACTTAAGCTTTACTTAAAACTTAAAACCTATACCAATGTCACATTTGCAAAATGTATTCCTATCTTACCTATCTTTCTATCTAAAAATGAAGGAGATTTAAGGAAACTTTAACCATCTAAGATACAACCAGCATTATGCAAGCTCAGATACCTAAATGGTACTTATGTTGTAGAACGAACACAAGTCAAGAACAAAATAAACGATATATGCATGCTTCGAAATAAAGAGGAAGCAAATTATCGGACATAGATACACAGGAGAGTCTCCTGTATACCTGTGTTGTTCCTGACGAAGGTAGTGTCAGTTGCACAATGCTGGTAGAAGCTACCAGGTGGTGAGTTTGCTGCTGATGCGTTCTATCGATAGATTGTACCGAAGTTGCAATTGCTGGTGCAGCATCGCCACTCTGGGAGCTCTGGGACAACGGATCGACGGCTGATCCATTTTCCTCGACCATACTTTCCATAGCCCGGCTACCTCGCGAGCTCTGCAATATAAGAAACTTGATATATTATACACATCTGTGATGAGCAAAATTACAAATAAATCCGATATATATTCTATTAAAAATTATATATAACAAAATTAATATCACAATAATATTCAACTTCATAATACGTATACATTTCAACGAACCAACATTTGTACTTTGGATGCAACAGTGAATTTTTTAATTGAAAAAATCGCCATGACATCGTCATAAATTTCCGATAGGATGTAAACAGAGGGAAATAACACGTGAGGGATAATACGTAAATATATTCATACGCATTTCTTTCGCGGAAGCCTCGTCGGAGTGCGAAAAAAACGAAACGCGAATCGTCCTTGCGGTTCAAATTTGCCGCCAACGACAAGTCCGGCGATGCTAACTGCGTCATTTACATAAGCGGATCTAAAAATAATACAGGGAGAACAATAAACACGCTCGACGGTACGACTTCTGTCGAACAGCGAAGAGACGAGGAATCACGCATGAGGGGAAAACGCGAGAGCTGTCTCTCGCCTTAACGTCCACCCCGGAAGCGCGATCGCGACGATCCGGCGACGATCCCGCGGAAACGGACGTCGAAAGGTCGCTCGCGTAACCCCCCCGTTAGCCTGTTAGCGGCGAGAAATACGTGCGCGTTTCTCGTCGGGGCGCCATATTTCGCGGTATCTCCGCGCACAGCAGACGTAAACGCGGATCGTCTCGCGGACACGGCGGACAGAAAAGCACGAACGCACGCCCGGATCGGGCTCGCGTATGATCTCGTCGCGCGTGAAAGTCGTACGCGAGCGCGCTGGTCCATGCCCGATTGTTATTATTCTCCAGCTGGGGTACTTACCAGTTACGTATTTCTCGTCACCAAGTTTGCTGCAATCGGAGTGGGCAGTCGGGCAGGTACGTAGCAGCCACGTCAAAACTCCAGTTGCTTCGTCACTGGTGGAGCCCGCGACCTCTAAGTTGCGCGTCACGATCAAGATGGCAGTCGCCGTTGCCGCGGCCGCCTCGTCTCTCGTCGCTGCTCGCTGGCTCGGCGGGCTCGGCTGGCTGCTGGCGGGCTCTCGCTCTTTTTCCGCCCTCCGCCCCCTCATAATCCGATCGCTCGTTACGTTCCACGCGCGGCATGTGCGGCTTGTGTGCACGATCTCGCGTCTGGCTCCGGCCTCGATCGCGAACTCGACGGTTACGACGATTAGGTTCGCGTATTATGTTCCATCGCGCTCTCCGATCTTTCATTCCGCACGCGCGTTTTTCTCCTCTCGCTCTTCCCGTCCATGTTTTCTTTTTTTCCCCTTCGTTTGTACACAGTTTCTTCCGTTTCTCGGGGCGAGGGTAACGATTATTTCGAGAATATATATTCATGGGATTTCTTTCCCCGAAAATAAAAGTCGAAAGAATTATAATACCTTTTCCCAATTTTTTTTACCCTTACATTGTTTTTTTTTTTTTTTTTTGATAATTTTATTTTAAATAATTCTCGACATAAATCTAAAATGTCATATATGTGAATGTTGTTTTATAATCATATCATAATTTTTATTTTAATCGTAAGAAAGCTCTTGGTTATCGGAATTAATATTTCTCCATCAGTAGTGATATTACGAAGAATAATTATGTCAAATTTAAGAAAACCATATTTCAAAGTTTTATAGAACAATTTCTTATATATATGTATACAATAAATTTTCTATTAAAACCTGTCTTTTCTAATAAGTTTTTAATAAATTTTTAAAAATCTCAATTTTCTTTTGTAATATTTTCTGCACCATAAATAAATCTACAAGCCGTAGAAATAAACATAAATTGTCAATTTATATTTATATTAGGTTATTGTAAATGGTAAGCTATTTAAACATAAAATTTGTAATGATTGGCTATCGGATAGGAAATTTCTAGAGAATTTCTTTCAGTAGCAGACATGTTGAACACATTTGATTCGCGGCTAGATTTGTCCCTTGTAGCTGAACTTTCTGCACTAAATATGAGATGGATAGATGTGTTATAGAAGTTGAAGGAAAGAGAAGGGACAGGAAAAAGTGCAAGTTCAATTACAAAGAACAAACGCGCGGGACTTCGGAATCTCTCCCCCTATCTTTCTCGTTGTTTACATTTCGAAAAATGATACAATAGGATAAACACGATAAAGATCCATTCAAACAGTAAAGTTCGAAGTATACGGTGCTATACAGAGAGTATCTGAGGCAATTTGATAATTTTCACAAAGTATCACGATAATAGAAAATTAAAAATATGAAACAGTTACATTGCATCAATATGCGTATTTCCATCGTCTTATTATTATTCTTTTATGCGGAAATTGTAGAGGTGATAGGTCAAGATGTAATAAAGATACAAACGGCAAACTCTGGAATATTGAACAGTATGTATTGAATATATGTATAACGCAAAATATATATATGTTTTTTATAATATAATACGTATTTATAAAATATTTTTTATAGTAGCATTTATTTTTATTAATAGTACTATATTTATCATGAAAAAAATTTTCACATACAATATTCTATTTAATTCTTATGAATTAAAGGATCTAGAAAATTAAATTACTTTGAAAGCTAATTTTAGATTTCTATTTCTCTACTTTGCAAGTTTCTAGGTTTTTATTTTAAATATCTATATTTTTTTTCTTTAGCTAAATCTGTTATGAAAATATATAATAATGGTTGTGAATGTATTAAATATCATTGTGGATGCTGCCAATTTATAGAATGGGATGCAGTTTATTTAAATGGAACATGTGAGTAAATATTCTTAAGCTATGCAATGCTATTAGTTGCTTAATATTAATTTATGTGTTGCATCTTATTGAGACTTTATTTTCATATAGTATGTGCAAATGCAAGTTATTTAGATCGTGACTATGGGATTTCAATTACAATAACATACAACCACATTACTATTATTAATGAGACAGTTACAGGTAACATTCAATTACAAGTCAAATAGAGATATGCAATTTTAGTATTATATTTTAATAAATATATATTTTTCCAGCCAGGGACCCACCACCTATCTGTATAGGAGAGAATATTGTGGGTTCAGTCAAAATTGATATTTGCTTACAAATCTATGACATAGATGTAGATTATAATGGATTTCATGCATGTTTTGATATTTTAGGAAAAATTATGAAACTTAAAGTCTATAAATTAGAGTTAGGTTGCATTGGCAGTATGCAACATAAAGAAAAACAGTATATAAATAATATAAATAATATCACTTTTAATTTGTTACACTTATTTCTTCAAAAGAAACATTCCATATCACCACCTAATGTGATTATGGTATAGATATATATATTAAATAGAATATAATATCTGAATTTACATATATCTTTTTTCTTTGTTCCATATTTATGTAATGCTTAATTTTTGTTTAAAGACATAAGGTAATAAGATCTGATAGTTTCTTTTCATTATACCAAAAAATACACTAGCATTTAGTTTTACATAAGACAATCTTATCTGTCTTTAATAATTTTATAAAGTATATATATATTTTTGTAATTTATAAATTTATGATATAATATATGGAATAAAAGCATAAGTGCTTTATATATTTATCTCATATATAATCAATGTTCCGAACACTTTTTACCTTTTCCTAATTTTTTTTACCTTTACTTTGTTTTTCTTGATAATTATTTTAAATAATTCTCAACATAAATCTAAAATGTCATGTATGTAAATGTTTTATAATCATATAATTTTTATTTTAATCGTAAGAAAGCTCTTGGTTATCGGAATTAATATTCCTCTATCAGTAGTAATGTACAAAATAGACTAATTATGTCAAATTTATGAAAACCATATTTTAAAATTGTGTAGAACAATTTCTTATACATATATGTAATATTTTTCTATTAAAACCTGTCTTACAAACCTTTTCATACAAGTTCTTAATAAATTCTTAAATGATCAAATAAAAAATCTCAATTTTTTTATACAAATATATTTTCTACACCGTAAATAAATCTATAAGCCGTTGAAATATAAATTATAAATTTATATTAGGATATTATAAATGGTAGGCTATTAACACAAAATTTGTAATGATTGGCCATCGGATAGGAAATTTCTAGAGAAGTTTTTTCAATAGCAATCATATTGAACCCATTTGGCCGCTGCTAGATATTTATTCTTTATAGCTGAACTTTCTGTACAAATGTACGTTAAATATGAGATGAATATATGTGTTATAGTAGTTGAAGGAAAGAGAAGAAACAAGAAAAAGTGCAAGTTCAACTACAAAGAACAAATCTCTCCGCGGAACTGCGGAAGCATTTCAAAATTTCTCCCCCTATGTTTCTCATTGTTTAAATTCCAAAACATGAAAATGATACGATGTAAGATAAAGATAAAGAACAAACAGGATAAGGTCATTCAAACGGTAAAGTTTGAAGTATGCGGTGCTATACAGAGAGTGTCTGAAGCAATTTTATAATTGTCACGAAGTATCACAACAATAGAAAATAAAAATATGAAACAGTTACATTGCATTAATATTATGCATATTTGCATCGTCTTATTATTATTCTTTTATGCGGAAGATGCAAAGGTAATAGGTCAAAATATGATGAGACAACCGCCAAACTCTAGGACACTGCATATTATCAGTATGTATTGAATATATATGTATAACGCAAAATATATACGTATATATGCGTTTATAATACCTTTTTATAAAATATTTTTAATAGTAGTATTTATTTTTATTAAGAATACTATATTTATAAAAAAATTTTCCCTACAATATTTTATTTAATTCTTATGAATTAAAATAAACAGTCTAGAAAATTAAACTACTTTGCAAGCTAATTTTAAATTTTTATTTCTTTACTTCGCAAGTTTTTAGTTTTTTATTTTAGATATCTTTCTTTTTCTTTTCTTTAGATAAAACTTCTCCAATAATATATGATAATGGTTGTGAATGTATTCATAAATATTATTGTGGATGCTGCCAATTTATAAAATGGGATGCAGTTTATTTAAATGGAACATGTGAGTAAATATTCTTAAGCTATGCAATGCTATTAGTTGCTTAATATTAATTTATGTGTTGCATCTTATTGAGACTTTATTTTCATATAGTATGTGGAAATGCAAGCTATTTGGATCATGATTATGGGATTTCAATTACATTAACATACAACAATTCTACTCTTATTAATGAAACAGTTACAGGTAACATTCAGTAACAAGTCAAATAGAAATATGCAATTTTAGTATTATATTTTAATAAATATATATTTTTTCAGTTAAGGACGCACCACCTATCTGTGTAGGAAATTTTGTGAATTCAGTTTTTGATATGTGCTTAGAAATCTATGATGTAGATGTAGATTCTAATGGATTTCATGCATGTTTTGGAATTTTAGGAAAAATTATGAAGTATAAAATCTATAAATTAGAGTTAGGTTGCATTGGCAGTATACTTAAATATTCCATATCACCTAATGTGATTTTAGTATAGTTACATATTGAATTGAATAAAATATCTGATTTTACATATACCATTTTTTGGTTTCATATTTACGTAATGCTTAATATTTGTTTGAAGATGTAACAATAAGATAGTAAGATTTGATAGCTCTTTTATTATTCTAAAAAATACACTTACGTGTATTTATGTTACTTATGTGTGTTTATTTTGACATAAGATCTTATCTGTCTTTATAATAATTTTGTATTTTTGCAAAATATATATATGTATTTTTGTAATTTTCTAAATTATTATATACGTGTATAAATTATTATATACGTATTACATAATAAATGGAATAATAGTACAAGTATTATATATGTATATTTATTAATTTCGTATATTTATCTCATGTATAATCATTGTCCCAAACACTATTTTTATTCTCTCCTTCATGTATATTCTCTCATGTTATAACTATGTTAGTTATAATTATTCATATAATTATAACTATTTTTAATTCAACATTGCTATCAATAGTCTTTTCCATTCGGCAGCGCAATCGTTCTGGAAAAGAAAACAAAAATATTCTCCAGTGTCAATGAAATAAACTAAAAGTTTATTTGCGAAAGTATACATTAATTGCAGATAAAATGTATATATTTCATATGCATGCTTTAGATTATTGACGAACGAAATATCTGATTGGGCTCTTAGTAACAGAAATTATTCTTCTCGAACTCTTTAATTCAATAACGCGATCAGAAGCCGCTTAAAGTCTTCGCTGCAGTCGTTCTGTAAATGCAAAATAATGTGGGAAAATTAAAGCTAGCATCAATTTAAGGCAAATATAGACATTTATGTATTTATGTACATGTTACTGATACAAGCGTGCATGCAGTCAGAGATGGGTAGTAATTAATAGTATTAGTGCAAAGAGGGACAAATTTTTCGTTTCGATCAACAATTTACTTGTGCTAGTATACAGTGCCAATCAATAGATCGAATTTTAATTTTCGATCTTTACAGAAACTCACGTTGTTATTTTATAAATAACACTCTCTTGTTATATTATAAATAATACTCTCTTGTTATAATAACGTTTTTCAGATGTTGTATTACTCTGATAAAGCGCAAAATATAAATAACACGAATAATACTATATTCACTATTAACGACCAACAAAATATAATAAACTAAATTAACCAATGTCTTTGTAGAATGTAACAAAACGTTATATGATATATATAATTTCCGGGACACTGAAGTAGGTTTTCAATATAAGGGAGTGTTGCGTACTATCGAAATATTTTCATCCGAGAAGAGTAAGCAAGAGTCTCTTGTAGTCGCCTGAACAGTCGTCCTGAAATTTATGGAAAGTTATATGCAATTCTGTCAGCGCGAGTTCATAAATTACACGTGAGTTAATGAATTGTTATTAATTATTATATTGCTGTTTAGTTCAGTGACTATAAACGTAACTTTTATTGATCACGAGTTAAGGAAGTGCGTTGTATGTGAGAAAGGATCAAAATTAAATATGACATGCTTAACTTAATACATTTTTTACAGACATAAAAAGCATTATTTTAAATTAATAAATATATAAAAGCTATAAAAGCGCTGAAAATAAAGTTGAATTTTGACTGAACAAAATGAAAGAAATGAATTAAAGAATCTGTTTAAAAGAGATCCAAATTTTATATTCTGTGAATTATTTATCTTTTATATCAAAATTTTATATCACTATGGAAGCAAAATGAAATAGTTGTAAAAATGAAACAGCTATTCTCAAATAAAATTATTACAATTGCACGAAGCAGCATATCTCACTTACATCGATCGCTTCTGCAAGAGATTTTCCATAAAGTCTTTCGTAAGCCTCTTTAATGTCGCCCAAATCGATCTCCGATCGTGTTATAATTATGCGTATTAATGTCGAATCGGTGGTACCAAATCCGCGCATAGCTTTGTATAGTCTTTCCGCAAAATAAGCAGTCTTGTCGCGAGCGCATTTCACTGAAAAAGAAACTCGTTTATACTTTGAAAACGGTAAAAATAGATGGATAACATTAAGAGAGGAATAAAATATTTCGAGAGACTAAATTAGCGAAGAGAGGCGCGAGTAATAGCAAATAGATTCTTTTGCATAGCTAATTTAATCACTTTTCTTACCCACAGCTAAATAACCGTCCTCGATAGCACCGGAAAATTCTCGCTTAATAGCGTGTTCCAAACTGTCCCCGGCGATACGTTCGTATTCCTTAAAAGTTTTTCGCAATTGTGGATAACTCTTAGTGATGAGAATTGCATTGAAAGTGCTTTCATCGGTACCCCATTGTCCTTCACCCGCGTTGAGAAGTTTCTCGGCATCCTGAAGTGCGGCCTCTTCATCGACGTCAGTATTCTCGTTTCTACTGGCCTATATATCCGATTGTTTATTAAAGAATAGAGAAAAACACTAACGAAATGAATCCGCAGTATTTATCAATTATTACTCACGCAGGACAACGATACCAAAAGCCTCTTGAAGTGACCGGAAGTATCACTCTTGAGGTCGTCCTCCAATTCTTTATCGTATACTAGCAAGATAAATTAAATACATATAGGTCAGAATTTTTTAGATATAAAAATAAATTAAATTTAAATATAAAATAAATACAATATATTCTTAATTATTCAAAATAAAAATCGTAGCTTTCAAACTTGTTTAGATAACATTTCTACTTCACACTTCAAAAAATACCAAACTAAGAGCAACCAGCTCTTTAGAAAATGCTCTGCATAAAAATTAATCTTAATCTATTTATATTACTATGACTACTTACATTCCTTGTAAACAGCCGATATCGTCTTGATACCGTAATTGCTCAAAGACGCCAGAACCTCGATAAGTGCGCCTTCGTCGGTACCCATACCGGAAACGGCATCGTGTAATTCTTTTGCATACAGTTCAGGAAGAGGTGTCATCAGGGCGCAGATGGCATTCTCGAAATTTCCGGACAATTCCGACTTCAGCTCGGAGACGAGGTCCTTGCCGTACATCGTCTTGAATTTGTCGGCGATCTCCAATCGTTGGACGATGCCTCGATGAGCCAAAACGTCGATGATTGTCTGTTCGTCGGTCCCGAATCCCTTCATGGCGGTTCGTAAGAGAGTGGCATCTTCTTCAGCATTGAAGGGATCGGCCGGATATACGGTGGGTGTACACTAGGAGCATTTATTATATCTTAAAAATATTGCAAATATCTTTTAAAAAATCATCCACTCATACCGGGAAAAAATTAAAACGATGAGATGAATCATTATGTTACATTCACTATTCTATTTAAATTTCGTTAAGATATTAACATATTTAATGAATCATTATGTTGCATTCACTATTCTATTTAAATCTCGTTAAGATATTAAATACCTGTACGTGATAATATTGAGCACTTGCCATCTTGACTGATTATCTGAAAACATTATTAATATTATTTGATATTATTTTATATCAAATATAATTAAATAATTTTATAATAATTTTTTTTATAATAATTTTTATAATTAAATAATTTTCTTTCAAACTTTTTAACATGCATGTATATTTAATTTTTAAATATATTATTTAACTATTTAAAACGATACTAACACATTAATCTATGATCTTTAGAAAAATAAAAATAATTGCGGTGTTCAATTAAAATTTATATCATAATGTTTTTAATTATGTAAATCGTAATAAAATTATGTTTATATTGTTATAAAATTATATTAAGATTATCTACGCGCACTGATAACTCTCATCTGTCATGATTAATGCGTGTAAATCATGCGATTCGGCGATGCGGCAGTTTGTCCTTGACTCATTTCAGAATACGTCACGTTATTGACGATGATCTCATCGTGTAAGGTGCTACATCCATTTGCTTATTACTTAACGACTATCAAAATAATTGTATGTTCACTTTATGATTTTAGGAGATTACAATGATGAAGGCATGTTATTTCGCAAGATAATATTGATCAGGCCGGCAAAGTGACACTTGGGATGGGTGTGGCTTTTACCTTTTTTGACAGAGATATGTTCTTTCCGGTATCGGTTCTGGTTGCTGCTAACCGACTAACGGTTTGCAAGACGTTCTCCGTCGAAGTAGCACAGAAGAGAAGAGGAAAGGAATTTGTTGGTGGGGCAATACGTGTTTTATGTCCACTTACAATGAAGACAATCGAGGCACCAACAGTTCGATATTTTTTGCCGAATTTTTCATGACATAATGCGAAATCGATATCGATTCCGGTTTATAAGTTTCACGGCTAGTTTTTAAATGCGAAATAATATTTTAATTTAAAAAAAATCTAATAATCATTTCCAATCTTTTTTTTAAAGAAAAAATGCGCAACAAAAAATAAGGAACAGGAAAACTATTGAAAAAAAACAATTTTCAGTACTACATAGCCGTGTACTTTTTTTATTCTTATCAATATTAATTATTAACAACGTTAAATTATCATAATATCATAATATCTTAATTATTAATAATGTTGAATTGAATAAATTTATTTTAATTTTAATATTTTTGTTTTCATTATGTGTATTGGTTTTCTTTATTTTTATCAATTTGGAATCAATTGCAGTTTTTAATTTTTATTTTTCGTTTTTGTTAAAAGTGTTAAAAATGCTTTCAAAAACGTTAATAAAGCTATTATAGTTTTGCATCACGACAATACGACGCCAAGATTATTAGGACAGATTTAGTACAAGAAGTATAAAATCGATACCGATTGTTCAGCTTATAACTTTGATTTTTTAATGCGAAACGACAAATTACAAATCGTTAATAAGAATAGAAAGTCCAAGGTGCAAAATAATTATTAAATATAATTGCCGAGATGGCGGAAGTATAGCATAACATTTCTGTTGCTCACAAATTCCAGTTCTCAGAATGATTCATACGATTTTAATGACGTGTTCTTTTAAAAACTAAAACTGATTACAATACTTAAAATAATCTTTAATATTTAAAAAAATTAATGTGCATAGCGAAGAGAGATTAAATTACTAAAAAATAGGTATTAGATATTAAATTTCGAAATCGCTAGGAAAAATGTTGATTAAATAGCGCGATGAATTTTGAATTAAATTAGAAATCCTTATTTTATAGAAAAAAAATTATTTTTATAAATTTAATCTACAATTTTTTACATTGATTTTTTTCGAATGTTAAATTACGAAAACAGAAAGATAAGTATTCTGTTTATTCATATTGTTGATAAAGCTAGCTGTTAATCTCTATAAGTAAAAACAGTGATTATATTTTAATCACATTTAGAATTTGATCTGTCCAATATCAAACAAATGGAACATAATGTATTAATTAATGACATGATAATGACAACTGATATGTTCACATGTCGACTAATTACATCGATTATATTAAATAATTTTACTTACATTAATGTATATATATTAGTTCCACTGACAATTTACAGAAAATGCCGGTTGCTTTCAGAATGATTCTTCGTCGCGTTGTGCACAAATGTGAATACTTTGCTAACTGGATGGAAACTGAATAGACTGTTCCGACAGCGGCAAGATATTAAGAACAATGTGAGGAAGAGAGAGAGAGAGAGAGAAAGCTAACGTTCACTTTGGTGGGGCTGACGACGTAGCACCGAACAATGACGTGGAGAACGGAATATCCTGTAGTAGCCAAAGGATGAGATGAATCGTTGCTCGCCAGACTGACGCCGTACAAGATCGATTGGAAATAATGAAAACAACCCATATAGCATCCTATGTCCAAAAGACATTAATAGGACATCCTAAAGATGTCTAATCGCTCAAAAAAGGTATCTTCTGGATACCTTCTGGATCTTTTGGATATGCATGCTATGTGGAAATTATGTTATCATTAAAATTTGCACGTCAATATATATTTTGCGTTCATATAAATTTTAATAAAATGTAAAATGGAACTTTTATTACGTACTTCCTTCATTTCTTAATGAATAATATTACTCATGAAAAGAGCACTTTATATGATTCATAATCCTTCATTGAATGAGAACAGATCGTGACGCTTTTGAACGTGCAGAATGCGTGACAGAATTAGCACATATATAGAGTCTCGAAAGTTTAGGCCAGAATTGTAGTCAGAGATTGGAGTAATAATGAATAAATATATCAAAATATCTAATATATTCTTAACGAATATTATAAATTTTGTCAAGCTTCCAATATCGTTAAATTCGATGGAAATGTCATTTTTTCTGATTGTCTGTGACACCTTTTATGCATTGTATGATGTCACTTGCATAACATGCATGCTTATTCAGAATAAATTTATTCATTTCACATTACAATAAAAATCCAATGACGCATTGAAAGAGAACTTGATAAATTTCTGATACCATGGGATTAACATTAAAAAAAATGTTCGAGAAAAATTTGTTTAAAAAAAATAATTTGGATTATGATTTTGGAGAAAAGAAACTTGATGTGGAGCCGTCTGAAAATGTTTTATTAAGATTACATATGGCAAGCGAGGCTTTTATTTCCAATTCCTCAAATTGAAAATCCATCTCCTCAACATTTTTTTCAATACATACATATATATATATACTGTCAGTACGATAAAAAGTGCATTCTCTAGCACATCTTGCACTTGTCTTATCTAATTATCTACTAAAAATTTGTCTAGATTCTTTTTCCTTTATCACTTTTACCGCTTTGAGAGAATCGTTCAGACTTCTTGTGCGAATCGTTCCCTTATATGTCTGTACTATACAATTATAGTACAGCCAAGAATATACGAGCTGAATGTTATCATTTGTAAATGAATAATATCTCGATAATGTGAATTTCTTACATTTTGTAAAATATAATCCGTAATTTTTTAACAATAAAATATATATTATCAATACATAAAAGAATTTATAAAAGAAAATCGATACATATTACATACTGAAAAACTTTTGTCAAATACATCGAAATGAGTCTTGTTGATTCTAAATTGTGCGTCGCAAAGGAACTACGTTATACACACATCTTCTTATCTAATTTTTTGACTATAAAAGGTGTTCCGCAATACATATACGCGGCTTTGATCTTAACAATTGACGAATTTGAAGACGTTCTTTCCTTAGTAAAAATGTTGAAGTGTCATTACATTTTCCAATATTAAAAAATTTCTAATTATGTTATTATTATAGTATATATATATATATATATATATATATATATATATATATATATATAATAATAATAATAATAATAAAGTATTATATATACTTTATTATTATTATATTTTTATAATCACATTCTAAGTTAAAGTTTCATTATATAAAATTTTATTATTAAAAACAAAATGTTTTTGTTTTTAACCTTATAATTCAGAAAGATGTTAGAGCTTTTATTTTTACTACAGAATTTAAATATGATTAAAAAGATTTAACTTATCCAAAAAAGTAATAAAGAATGAAATTTTTAAATAAGCTACATAAACTTTTAATCTAAATGGATAACATTAATATTTATGATTAATAAATTATACAAGTTTGTGAGACAGAAATTGTTAATTTTCTATTTTTTTTGTTTACATTTGAACATTTCAAAAACGACATTTCGTATAAAAACATTCTACTCTATATACTTTTCGATTTATTTTCTCAAATAAAATCTTCTCTGGTCGTACCATTAATGACAAACTACCTTATATAGTCAAAACATTGATAACGATTCTATACGGTATCTAACATCCTAAATCTCAATATAAATCATTGATGATAAAGAGAAATGATATATGTAAGAACAATATGAATATAATCGAATTAGTTTCGTCATATAATCAAGATCTTTTTACTAAATATTACTAATGTTAAATATATAGATTTTGTTAATTATATTCATGGAATAATTATGATTTGTTATGAGTGCCTAAATTTAAGAAATAAAAAAGAAAGCAAATTCGAGAAATGCATATTACGCTAATCGTGGCATTTTGATATGTTTTATATATTTGACTATTAAACATTTTTGCAAGCGCACACACACACAAATTAAAGCAATGTATTTGTAACACTGGTTAAAAATATCTAATGCAGCAATGCTACTTATATAATAATAATATATAATAATATATAATTTTAAATAATGATATATAATAAAAATATTAATAAGAGATAGAGAGAGAGAAAGAGATTTGTGTGAGCGACAGTAATGGTAAAATAAGAGAGTGACTTAATAATAGCAGCAATTGCAATAGTTAAAATAGCAGCGCAATAGCAATGACAATAGTAATGCTTTCCACAATAATAATAATAATAATAATAATAATAATAATAATAATAACAATAATAATAATAATAATAATAATAATAATAATAGTCTCTAAATGTTCATACAGTAAGAAAATGTTATAAAACACATTCTGCATTCATTATAAATTTTTGTATAAAAATGCAAAGAAGATTATAAATCCACATCTTAAAATTATTAACATAATTTTCACATAATTATTATGTAATTTCCGATTATGTAATTTTCCAATAGATTCGATACTAGTGCACATAATCATTTGATTGTAAATATACGCGTTATGATTCATGCAACAATTATTAATTTCAATACATATGTCATGGAAAGTATTTCTATAACATTGTATATTATACGTATATAAAACGTTGATTATTCGCCTGTAGATTAATTCGAAAATCAATATTGAATAACAACTGTTCTAATAAAAGAAACATGATGGATATACATATTAAATATAAAGTATACATATAATAACATTTTCACATAATATAAAAAGACAAAATAATATCTATAAAGAGTATTTTAATATGCAAAATAAAAACTAAATATATATAGTTTCTTAAATATAAATAAATTCTCTAATAACAAGATTATATATATATAGTTTCATTGATAAATATAACATTGCTTTAAATCCTCCAGCACTGCACACTGTGTACAGTCTCAGATTTTATATAAATTGCACCACAAACGTCTTTAAAATAAAAACATTATTAATCTAACATCAAATGCGATTTCAATGATATAAAATTAATGATAATTATTAATAAGCAAGCATAGATAATAAATCTTCCAATGACATGCCACACACAAGTACTGCAGGATTCAAGAACTAAAATTAATGTATGTACAAGATGTATCAAACTCACTGCATTTTCTTTCATTTCTGATTTCTTTAATATCTTTTCCACTTAAGCCAAAGAATTTGCAATTGGAAAAAAGTGCGTATGATGTTTGAAGGGTTATTCTCTCTATATATCATATGTTAGCTGAAACGCAGTAGTTGTGAGAGGCGGATGATGCTTCAACATTAGATAATGTATTTAAAGAAGCGGATATTATGTCATTTTGTGATATATCGAGAATCTTTGTTGGAAGAATATCATTTTCTTTCTTGCCTTTTTCATTTAGATGGATTTGCAGGAACGCTTTTACGAAAACATTTCTCTCACAAACACGCACTCGGGACAGTCGCCGTTATTTTATACATAAGAATTTTCATATACGGCAAATTCAACAATAAACATATGCTTTTTTTTTTATAGAACTTTACAGAGTGAGACACCTAACTTTACCATCCAAAATATCTTTCATCAACAGTGCAAAAAAAGCCATACATAAAATGTTTCATAAAAGAGTATGTTTGCTGATGAGATATTAATATATCGCGGAAAATTGATTATAATAACTGCTAAATAATTTTTCCATAAAATATCCACTTATCTGAATGTTATGATTATAGATATATGAATTCATGGGAGAAAGATGAATGTTTAATTCATAAGAGCAAAAAATGAAACTCATAACATGAGTAAAACTATCACACACGCATGCCATTTTATATATCAATGTATAGTATATATCATGTGATATATGCTATATGTAGTATATATCATTGATATATTACACGCATAATTAGCATTAAGAAAGAAAACATTTTGCACAATAACATTCAAAGATAATCTTATAGATATGCGAAGCAATGATTCTTAAATAATATTCCAGAGAAGACATTTTTGTTCAATTAGTTAAAAAACTACACTATACGAGCAAATCTTTTCTCTAAAAATTGCCAAAAATTGCATATTTGTCTCAATGTTGCCTTACATCTAAAATTACTCTAAAATCCAAATTGTAGTAGAAAAGTAAAAAAGTTAAAAAAAAATCATTTTATAATATCACTATAGAATATTAAATTTAATCTAAAGCATACATTAGAAAAAATAATTGCAGATAAAAAAATATAAAAAAGATATTAATATATTATGACATTTCTCTCTCTCTTCTCCCTTATATATAAATTGCTTGAAAGTGATTTTTTCTTATTGTCCATATTTTTTCTATTTATATATACAAGCATTCTCTCTCTCATTCTATTTGTTCACTAATTTACATAAAAGTTGATTGCAAGTTATGTTATTAAAAAAAATAAATAAATAATATGTTGTAAGCTGATATGTAAACAATAACTGACTTGTTTCTGAATTAATTAACTTATTTAAAAAATTGTAAAAGCAAAAGAATAGTTTGCTAACAAATGATCAATCTTTTGCAACTTATTAATATAGAGTAATTTAAGACATAGATTTATAAACTTTTTTCTATCTGTTTGACCATCTTAATATAAATAAGATTATGTGTTTTTTAGACACCCTGTATTATCCGTAGAAAAACAGGGGTACATTTGAGCATTGGAGTAAATTTGAAAATTTTTAAAGCATCATTACAGTAAAATCATACATTACAATAAAAAAATCTTTGTATTTATTAGAATGTTCAAACTTTAAAGAAAAACTTTTCTATTGTCGTATGGAATATTTAAATTTTTAAATACATCCCAATGTTTGCAAATGTATCCTTTTCTTTCTTATGTATTACCCGTATCTATCAGTACCTGGTCAATATGCGACATGCTGATTGACTCTGTACTTCTTAAAATACTAAATTTTCATTCAAATTTCTCTTAAAAAATTACTATTGAATTCATCCATGAGATATCTCTCTATTAATGATATCCACATATTTTACGAAACATCCTATATATAAGATTCCATCTTGATAATATTAGTCTGATCAATATTAGAAGATACAGATTGAGGAATAAAACATATGAAAAGAGAAAAAAATAAACTTTAAAAAATCTTACAAGTTCATCTTCACTGATAATTATCAATTTTGCTAATTTAATATCTGTATATATATATATATATATATATATATATATATATATATATATATATTGAATACAGCAATAATTGTTAAATTATTATATTTAGAATATAAATGTTTAGTGTATAATAACTCTAAAATTATCAAGTTACAAAAGGCAAGAATATGCAATATAAATTTCAAGAAAATAATATTAGACAAGCACTAATCAGTTCTTTGAGAGATGAGCAGAGCTTATAGTCTTAATTTATATTTAAAAATTTTTAAGATAATACTTATTTTTTTAATTTATAGAAAAAAAATTCATTTAAATTCTTTTATAACTTTTTTAAAATAAATTATCTTTAAAAGTAATCATAAAGCAAATTTGTAACTGTGCATCCATACTGCATTTATAAGACTATATATTCATAGAGAACATTTTTTTAAAACATAAATGCATAGAATGTCAGAAGGAGAAAAGCAAATGGTAAAGTTAAGTGTCCTATTCCGTGTAACAATAGCACGATTATGGCACGAAACTTATTCCTAAAGACAAATGCTAAACGGATCAGATCGATTTAATATAAATACATGCTCGGGGAGCGATCTCTTCTGTAATATTATTTTCGAGAGACGACTATCTCAGTATTCTATAATTTTTCTGCTCGATTAATCTGCATTCAATTTTTTGTATTTTTTTGTATTTTTTTCTTTTTTTTGGAACTTCTCCCTTTGTTATTAATCTATGTCATCCATTCGTACATCGTGCTTACAGTAGATACAAAAGACCTAAGAAAGGCATTCTTAGGTTTTCCTATGATGCAAACTTAAGTTTGCAATGTATTTGTAATTTCTCGATGTACAGTTACCAAATCTTGTATGTAACCAGCTAATCTGGCATTTAATGTATCCAAATTTTGTTTTTGAACCTTATTTGCACTCAATGCAAGTTCTAATTGTTCATGAACTACATTTAACATTTCGCGAATTTCTGTATTCTCCTTTTGTAAAGCCTTGCAAAAACAAAAATGAGATATTTGTTAACCAGATACGTCGGGTTAATCTAACTTTAACGTAGTAAAAGTACTAATATAAAAGAAAATTTTATATACATACCACAAGATCTTTACCCTTAGTGGCCATAGTGAGAGCTTTGATTTCATCATTTCGCGTTCTCAGCTCACATTCCAATGCTTCAACTCTCAATCTTAAGGCTTCGCTATTTCCTTCCGCGATTTTTCCAGCTTCTAAATCGGCGTATTTAGCTTTTATTTTGGCATTTTCATCTTTATACAATTGTAACTGTCTCTTCCATTCGTCAACATTAGCTGTGGATTCTTGTAACGCACTTGTTAATCTTGCATTATTGGTTTTAAGGGTAGTCAATTCAATCTATAATAAAATATCAATTGCATTATTTTATCGGTTATTTTCATTTACATTCCTAAAAAGAATCTTTTGAACATACCTCCCATTTCTTTGCATTAGCAGAACTCTGAGCTAGAGCAAGTTTCAGCCTATCATTCTCGTACTTGAGTTGCACTTCAGCCGACTGTCCACCTTGTGTAGAGCTCAGTTGCGCCGATTTTCCTTGATGCTGCGGACTTTCTGTACACTGCTGAGAAACACTCTGTGATCTTGAATGGACTGTGTTTTTCAATTCATCGTCCACTTTATTCTGACAACTACCAGGTAAAGGACTGCTGCTTACCGAAGATACACTGTTCTGAGCGGATATCATATTGGCATTCGGATTCGGGTTGTTTGACGCTGATACATTGGAGTTAATCATCGAAGAGTTTGGTGGATCGATGAGATCTTGTTCCGACGATGGCATACCCGATCGTGATGTAATAGGACTAACATTCGCACTGGTAGCTGGCGTAACTGAAGAACTATTCGACTGTAACTTAGCGTTAGCTAGTTTTGTGGCTTCTTTCACCTCGTGAAATTTCTCGATAAACTGTTGAATAATATTTCTTCTGAGAGTATGATATATGGGAATATTTTACTGTAGATTGCAACCAAAGTATAAATACAAACCTTTCCTAATTCAGCCTCAGATGCAAAACCTAAACCATATACAGTATTCGCCCTGACATCCGACCACTGGCCAAATTTCTGTGACGTTTTTGTGAAAGTCATGTTTGGTGTAATTGTGCTATTTATGACAGCCTAAATAGAAAAAGAGAGCATATATGTTACAGATACTAGCCTATGCTTACAAATTGCTTTTATACTCACAAATACAACTTTTAATCATACCTTTGTTCCTTCAACTGATATTATTCTGTACAGACTTCTAGTAGAATCATAAAAGAACGATACTGATATTGCTGCTGATGATGCAGGTACCCAAGATCGTTTTGTCTTGGGATCAATGTGAAATACATGCGCTTTGCACGTAAATATTGGTTGTTCACTGTAATCAATTTAAATAATAAAAGAAGAGTATGTATACATATATACATATGATCTTACATATATGATACAAAGTGTCTATTTTTATCTGACCTCATTAAAGCAAATGCATATTCAAAGATATACCATAGAATTGAAATATAAAATTATGAAAAAAAATATATGTATATAATAAGATTCCTGCTACAAAAAAACTAATATTTATTCATATTTAGTTATATATTAATAAATAAAATTTTAAATATTTTATCAATATATCATATTATCACAAAAAATATCATTTCACAAATATATAAGAACAAAAATAAATTTTTCTGAATGATAAAATAAAGGAGAAATTGAATATTACTCAATTTTAAATAAATATATGAATGCATGAATACAGAAAATATTTATATTAGAAAAATATAGCCTGCCTAAATGTATATATTGTATGTATTTTTTATGTGCTTATATCAAATAAATCTTAAAACTATTAGACCTTTTTTGCCTATTGAACAATTTTTGTGTAACATACTGGCTCCTCTTTTTAATTATTAAGACAGAAAAACAGATGTCACAAATGACAAAACTACTACCAAGAAACGAGTGTGACTAATTCGTTGCATCATTATTTTATAAAAAGAAAAGAGGAAAAATTACTCCAGAATGCGCATTATTAGAATACCGCATTGATACTGTCAACTGTCAACCAAGTCGGGATAAAACGCGTAGAACAGATGCTGCGAAGAAACGCAGTTACATCTGCACAGGGGCATTGTCTCCCGCATATCGTGAGCGATCTAATTGATACGGCACGATAGAGGCACCGGTGATGAGCGTATTAAGAACAATTCAACGTACATGGGAGCGCGAGATGAAAATTCGTGATCGCTTATACACATGAGCGTTACACACCCTTAAAAGGCGGTGTGTATCCTTCGCCGGAGAATAATCACTTACCCCATTGTTTCCTTGCCCGATGTCATATAAGAGGCTCTTCTCAGTCGCGCGGTCTCATAAATCGTGTCGCGCGCATTCAACGCGAGCGCGCGGCTATTTTCAGATCGGAACAGGCGAGATTTTCCGAGAAAGCGCCGGGAACCGTTCGAGCGTAGAGCGAGATCCGTGAGTTGACAGCCGCCGCCATCGGCCGAACTACTCTCCCTCTCTCTCTCTCTCTCTCTTCCTCTCTCCTCTCTCCTCTCTCTACCTGTCTATCTATAGCGTATAGCGACGATCACGCGACGACATGAACGTAGTCGAATCTCTTTACACGGTCTGCCTGGATTTAATCGATTTTCCACGAAAGGCTCTGCTATTCGCCGTTAACCTCTCGACGCGACTCGCCGCTCTCCGAGACTTGTCAAATTCACCGAATCCACCGAACGAGGCTTCGCGGAAAGTCGCGCACGCACATCACGCCCGACACGATCGTACTCGAATCTTTAAGGTACTAACGCAACGATGCGACAGTTATGCTTTTGAGGACGGTGCTGCAATCATAGACGTGCGAGGTATCTACTGACCCTGTGCACGATAAAAAAAAAATGAGGAAACGTTAAGTTTATCTATTGGGAAAATTCACCGAATGCTAAATAAATTAAATAAATTTTGCATTATGTTAATTGGCAAAATTAGAAACGAATATATGTAATAAATCTGTAAAATATTAGGATATAATTAACAGATGACATGAATCGAAAGAGAATTCCAATTTCCAAAGTTATTTCTGAAAATTTAAAGATTTAAAAGTTTAAACTCCAATATTGAAAGATTGTTCCATCTCAAATAATATTCGTAGTTAGAGAGTATGTCAAAGTATTTCAAGTATTTTGTTGATTTCATTATATCGTTTCTTCAAACTTTGAAATGAGTGAAATGAGAAAGGATAGTATTGAGGAAAGATAATTAAGATTAATGAAAATATATGCAAAACGCGAGAGATATTATATTTAGATAATAAAAAATTTTAACTGGAAGAAAATTCTAAATAATTTACCCTACAAAACTTCAATCATTAACCATACAGCTTGTAGAAATCATGTGCGATTTTTCAGTCGAATACTAACTATCATAGATGGTTCCTCGATATTCTCTAGACTTTGTCGAAATAGTTGAGCATGTTGCCAAGCAAGTTGACCTTGTCCGCCAGACAATGTTACAATTATATCTAATTTCACAGCTTTTTGTATTTCTTCTGTATAAAAATTATTGCAGTTAGAAATAGGTATGGCAATCACTTTATCATCACTAAAAACAGCTTCAATCTTCCAGGATACACTAGCTTCATGAAACACTTCTGATTTAGCTTTTAGATTAAATGTCTCTAAATACAATTTAGAATTTGCAATTTTAAAAGTCCATTTAATACGTCCACACTGTGCATCCGGAGATCGCGCTAAATAAACCATCTTCCAATCATCTTCCACTTTACGAAAGATTCCACCATCTGTAGTATTTATTCCTTCCTGCCACCCAGATTTTTGTTCCAAAATTGTACCATCATTATGCACAATATGATATATGTCTTTAACAATATTATATTGCAATTCAAATGTTTGTTCATATTTAGAAACATCCCAAATATAATTCTTTTCTATGTTGGCCTAAAAAAAGGAATAAATATGTAAATTAATAATGATAAATTAATAATGGATAGTTAGATTAGAATTTGATAAATTTTTAAAATATGAGATACTTTATATATTTTCAAAATTTTAGAATATATTTATACCTGTTCGGTTTCACCTCGTGCTAATCTCCATACAAGAGAACCCGAGGTCCGCCCTTCGTAAGTTTCATCGGAATTCTCATTTTGTAAATTTGGAATGTATAGCATATTAGCAAGCTCCGACAGACTCCGCTTGACGATATATTCTCTGCGTGCTCGGCTGTAATTCGGCGAATTTTGTCGTTGATCACTTAATGATCGTAAAAATTTTATTAAGCTCTGTTCGCTGCAAATTTTCCGCCTTTTCAGGACGGCTTCAGGATTTCGTGTATAACGCCATGTAACATCTTGCACTTCATCCTTGGAATAGGCTATTATATATGTTAATTTCTTTTTCCATCCTTTCTCATACATTAATGGCTTGTCTATTATATTCTCACACGGATCTAGGTGAATCCATCTGTTACTTGATTCGGACCATATCTGAAAATAGGAAAATGAAAAATTTTAAACAATTCTGAGCAGATGATTTTACAATAGAATAAATTCCGTGAAACTACTAAAGTAACTACTATAGTATTTCTATAGTATTATATATACCTCTGTCCAAACGTGATCTGTCTCATCACATATAAACCGTGCATCATAATCTAGCGAACGACATAAAAGTGTGAACACATTGGCCCATTCTCCGCAACGACCGCGTCTCAGCATCAATAATGGCTCTGGATGCGAATAACGAGGAAATTCGACAACTACATTGCATTTTTTACATCTAAGATTGAATTAACATTGTAACAATATTGCAGATCTACCAATGCAATAAACAGTCCTTTACATTACATGAAATACTTAGAGAAATCTTACCTGTGTAACTCTATCCTCGAGCATTGACGATCTGTAGATGGTACTAAACTCTCATATACACATTCACTAGAACATCTTGAACACTTTGGACTGTTAACCCATTTAAAAAATTCATGCTTAAACCAATGTAAAAGCTCGCCAAGCAGCAAATCTTTAGCCATCAAGACCTCAAATTGATCTGAGGTACTTTCTCCCGCATTGTTAAATTTAAGACCCCTGTAGATAAAATAAATAATAAACAATCATGAATTCCATTATAAACAATGCATATATGATTTAATTACTTTTGTATCTCTCTCATCTTTTTCATAGCTGCAATTTCTAATTGTCTAATTGGTATAAGATTTTTAGCCTTTCTTTGTAAATTTGGATCTTCATAATGTAAAACATCGTGAAAATGTCCAGAAATTCTTTTGAAAAATTCTTTCCGCATTGTAGAATTTTCCTCAGTTACAGATATGCTCTCTGACACAGCAGATAACAATTTTGACAAATGTTGAAGTCTTGAAAGAGATGCGTTGTCTGGCAAAAATATACGTTCCCCATCCTGTTACATAATTTATTATTTAAAAAGGATTGTTTAAAAAATATGAATATTTTGTAGCATTCAAATTTAACAAAAATAACCATTAAACTAATAGACATTACATTGTTATTGTTTTAATTGTAGAAAAGAATGAAAATCAGAAAATATCTGTTGGCTCGAATACATACCTCGACGTAACCGACGTCGAACAAACATTCCATGGCACCGATAGCTGGCAGAAGCTTCTCGATGACTACTTCATCATCCAGATGTACCTCGCGTGCCTTGTTATTGTTCGGCGATCCCAATACATTACAACAAATATTTAATAATGCTTTCCGTGCTTCGTCGCGCACGTTGTTGTCATTCTCCTCTAGCGACTTTACACAACGTTCTAGACTCTCCATATTTATTAAGACTCACACGTGTATCCGATTAGTTCGCGATCACCTGTTTATCTGAATATCATTGTCGGACATTCACCAGTCTAGTATCATCAATATTGCTGACTCGTATGTCGCTGGCATTGGCTACCTAGAGATAAGCTTGATTATGTCAATACTCGTATGAACCTTCTACCCCCCTCCCCTCTCTCTTTTCCTCTCTCTCTTTCTCTCTCTTTCTCTCTCACAGAGGACTACAAAACTCATCTATATTAAAAATTTATTTACATTTATATACATAAGCGTCTTGCCTATTAGTGCTACTGGCATTTCATGCACATAACAAGGAATAGAATCAGAAATTGTGCACATTATATGTTACCTTCTGAGAATATTCGTCGACATTTTGTAGTTCATGTCCACAATTTTAATGTTCACAGAAGGCGTATTGCTTTCAGGGATCAGGGAGCGAGTGATCGTGACTCGTGACACCTTTGTCTTTTCTCTGCTATCAAGAAAAATCCTCAAATAAAGATGCGGCCTCATTGACGCTAAAAAGTAGCGTCAACCATTGGTTGAACAAGGAGGTAAGTATAGTTGCTTCATTGTTCAACCAATGGTTGACGCTACTTTTTAGCGTCAATGAGGCCGCACCTTAAAAGTTCGAACATTACTAGATTGATTCTTATTTATTTTAATTTTTAGAAATAACGAAATAAGTAAGAATAATTTCTACATTAATTTCTGATATCATATAATTATATAATGATCATATAATTATCATTTTTAGCCAAGTATACGTGCTTGTACTCGAGACTCGAACATTATCTCATCTCGCATAGTGGGTCTGTTCTTTTTAGCTGCACTGCTGCACTAGTGCAATAAGTTAGAAAGAGATAAACATACTTTCTTTCACTCTACTAATTGCACTAGTGCAGTAGTGCAGTTAAAAAGAACAGTCTCATTATCAAGGCTTCTGACAAGTCACGTGGGTAACCACTCTCCGCCCACTTTCGACTGATTCTTCTGTGTGTGCATGTGTCAACGTTGCGGTGCGTTGGTATATGGATCTTATATGGTCATCTAGGCTTGTGCAGCTTGTGTAATTGATTGCATGCAAGTGGAAGGATCAGCAAGCTCATATTCGAGATTCGCCCACGGTTGCAGAATGCGCGATTCCAATTGACATGGTTTTCTCTAAAAAAAATAGCGTAACGTCAAATACATACAGCAAAGAATAAGGTTCCCATGCTGATGTGTTAGTGTCAAGAATATGGCTATATTTAGCGTATGACGACTGACCGTTTTGGAGCACGAACAGTGCCGTTGCTCTGATATAGCTAGCGTATCGTCTGTGTTTACGGTCGATAATTTGTGACAAACGGGACGAAAATGGAAGATATATTTCAATGGTGCCGTGAGGGCAACGCTATGCAAGTCCGCGTCTGGTTAGACGACACTGAACATGACATGAATCAAGGGTAATTACTCCAGAACTCCTTTTTTTGGAAAAGATCTACTCCTCAGATATCGGATGTTGTGGTTTCTCAGATGAGCTGACTGAATAATCACATGATTCTGCAAAGCATATTCTTGATGAGAATATGAAATAAATAGATCATAAATTTATATTTATTTGTTTATACCAGAATAATTAAAAAAAAGATGATAGTAGCAATTTTATTTGTGACAGTTTGGATATTGTTTTTTAAGAGATATTTTAAGAAACTGTTTACCTGTAAACCATAATTTAATAACTTGCCTTTTAATTCTTATTACATTATTAAATAATTTAATTCCTATTATATTGTAAAATACTTTAATTAAATATGCTGCTCTATATATAGAGATGACCATGGATTCAGCCCACTTCACTGGTGTTGTAAAGAAGGACACTTGAAATTGGCAGAGTTGCTGGTCAGCAGAGGTGCACGCATTAATGCTACCAACAGAGGTGATGATACACCTTTGCATCTTGCTTCGGCGCATGGACATAAGGAAATAGTACAATTGGTAAAAGCATTTAACAATGTTACTTGTAAAAGATTGCTAGAACTATTTGCATTTGTATGAGATGGGTGATATACAATTTGATTTTTATAGTTACTTAGAAATCGTGCTGATGTAAATGTCATAAATGAACATGGCAATACTGCCTTGCACTATGCTTGTTTTTGGGGAGATCAAGCAATCGCAGAGGAATTGGTTGCAGCTGGGGCACTCGTGTCCATTGCCAATAAAGATGGTGACACTCCTCTTGATAAAGCTAGAGGTGTCATAGCCAAGAGACTGCATGGTAAATGTTTGTAAAACTTGAATTAATATCTCTTATATTTGCATGTATGATATCTCTTGTTTCTCTTTAGATTTAGCAGTGGAATATGGACAAGATTTGAAGAAAATTCAATTCAAAGATCAGAGCTGGTTAGGCTTGAAAACCAGAAGCCGTAAGTATATTTCTTATATCACAAAACAGTTTATCCCATATAGCATCCTATGTCCAAAAGATATTAACAGGACATCCTGAAGATGTCTAATCACCCAAAGATATCTTCTGGATACCTTCTGGACATCTTTTGAATATGCATGCTATGTGAGATATGAGACATGTATATGAGTTACATTATATTTATTTTTTCCAGGAGACGCGACTCTTTCTCGACACAAAGGAATCAGTATGGCAGATCTATCTCTGCATACGCATCTCGCGAGCACACCCAGCGGCGACACTTGGCGAGGACGATGGCAAAACAATGATATTGTCGCCAAGATATTAAACTTTCGCGAGTGTACTGCGCGTATCTGCAGGGATTTCAATGAGGAGTTTCCAAAGTTGAGAATTTTTTCGCATCCCAATGTTCTGCCGGTTCTCGGTTGTGTGAATCAGCCGCCGCAGTTAGCAACCGTTTCCCAATATATGGCACGAGGTAGTTTGCATCGTCTTTTACATGGCGGAACGGGTGTTGTAGTGGACACAGCGCGCGCTCTTCGATTAGCACTTGATATCGCCAGAGCTATGGCATTCCTTCATGGTTTAGATCGACACAATAGATGTAGATTTCATCTCAATAGTAAACATATAATGGTAAATCTTTAACAACTACTTTATTACAAGAATAACTAAATATTTAAATATTTAAAATCTATACATAATTGGTATCGTTTATCCAAATATATCCCGCACTGCATTTCAGATCGATGAGGATCTAACTGCTCGTGTAAACATGGCAGACGCAAAGTTTTCCTTCCAAGAAGTCGGACGAATTTACGAGCCGGCGTGGATGTCGCCAGAAGCTTTAAGTAAGCGTCCTGCAGACATCAATCTTGAAGCAAGCGATATGTGGAGCTTTGCTGTTCTTTTATGGGAATTGGCAACTAGAGAAGTACCATTCGCAGATTTATCACCTATGGAATGTGGCATGAAGGTGGTTATAAAATTCTCATTTATATTACTAAGTTGTAATAATATACATTAACATTTTTTTATCTCTAACTTTTAATGGTAAATATATATTTCTTATGAAATATCCCTAACAACACACATGTCCAAAAGATGTCCAGAGATCATCGAAAGGACATCCAGAGGACACAAAATATCCTTTGGCTGTCCTTTAGATATTCTATGAATGTCTTTTGAACATATGTGTTAGGGTATAGTAGTAAGTCGAATTTAAATATCAAATTAATAATTGATAATTTGTTTTTAGATTGCATTGGAAGATTTACGAGTAAGCATTCCACCAGGTATTTCTCCACATCTTGCAAAGCTCATTCGCATCTGTATGAATGAGGATCCAGGCAAACGACCATCCTTCGATATGGTTATACCGATTCTGGATAAGATGAAACGTTGAATTGTATGTCTGATACTGCTCGATGCAGTAAGACGAATATGAGATATATATACATCGCCGGAAAAGATTTTAATCAAAAAGTGCCTAACGAATCTCTATATTTATTAAACTGCCTGAAGAATTACCATTAACAATGATAGAATATTTTTATATTATTGTGTTCTAAAACAAATGGATGAATACTGCCTTTAGAAATTTAGACTCTAAATGGACTAATATTTTTTTTAGCTATTATATATTCAATATAAATATATAAATGTTTTGTGAAATCACATTTATATACTATAATTTATAAATAAGTATAATTATATAGCTCGATTTCTGCCTATATTTGACGTTAAATTGCTACAATTTTTAATAATAAAAAGAAAAGAAATATAAAATAATAATGCTATTTACATATAGTAGAGAGCATATTTTTTATAAAATTTTTGATGACTCATTTTTTGTTCGCCATCAAATATATTGTGAATATTATCTGTATATTAATATCAGTCACATACAGAAATGTATTATTAAAAAATGAATATTTGTATTCCAATGAATAATTTTATTAACAAATGTAGACAAAAATATATTATTGTTACACATACAAGGAGTGTTTAATTCATTGTAATTCGGCGATATATAAAAAAATACTTTGCCAGTCTGACATTTTTCCTTCGACCTGTAAATTATGGAAGTATTTTAATTTTTTGATTAAAATTGATTATTTATTAAACAATTTATCACGGAGTTAATTATTTGAATTTATTCTATTATTTTACCGCGCTTTTCCAAAGTCAAATTCTATAATATTTAGTTTTGCATTTTAAAAGATTAACTTATAGCTAAATAAATAAACAAATAAATGATGTTGAAAAGAAAAAAAAGACACATAAATAAATAAACAAATAATAGCGTGAAAAGAGAGAACATACTAATTTTTATATAATAAATTATTATTAATTAAATTATTTATATTTTTATTTATATTATCAGAGAGACATATATGTTACCCTCTGAGAACATTCGTGGACTTTGGCTTCGTAGTTCATGTTCACGTTTTTAATGTCCACAGAGGGAGTATCGTAAAAATATTCATACGTTTTATAAATCTGTCGAGAAATTTTTTTCTATAATTTAAATTAACATCTGTTATAAATCTGTTCAAAAAAATTCAATATTTACTGTGTCTATATACGTATATATGTACGCATACATATATATATATACATATATAGAGAGGTATAAGAATTTCATATATTCGCGCAAGTGTCAGGTATCAGGTGTCAGGTGTCAGGCTAATATGTAATTTAAAGATGGCTGCTGTACATAAACTTTTCCGGCTTATACCGAGGACAAAGTTTTTAAATAATAATGGCTATTATGTCAGCCAGAACCCACGGTCATTTTGTACGATGATGCAGCAACCACAGAAAACACAAAGTTTAGTGAAAATCGGTTTAATCGGTGCTGTTACCGGCGTTGTTTTGGGTGCAGGTTATGCCCTTCACGAGATCAACAAAACTCGAGAAAATATCGCTCTGGAAGGAACGCAGGCAGAAATTACATTATTGAAATATAAACCTCCTGTCACACCATCCAGGAAGGTACTTCAACGATTATCATGAAAAATTTTACCGCATTTGCGATATTTGATAAGCTATATTTCTTTTTCTGTCTAGATTGCATCTCCAGTGGATACTACGGGTTTAAATGTCACGTTATTTCAGTATCAAACATGTCCGTTTTGTTGCAAGGTAAATGAAAAATAAATTCATAAAAAAAATTTTGTCACATGCAAGTAGCTTATTTTAACACTACACATTTATCGAAGTGCTTGATTCGTTATAAAGATCAATTTCATGTCACTCTAGCATTAAATTTATATTAGAATTACAAGTTTATAGAATATATATTATTATTATATTGCACATTAGATAAGATTTATATAATAAAATTAATTTCTATCTCAGGTTCGAGTTTTTTTAGATTATTATGGGATATCTTATGATGTCGTGGAAGTAGATCCAGTGCTCCGTAAAGAGATTGGATGGTCCTCTTATAAAAAAGTTCCAATTCTTTTGACTAAAGTAGAAGAAGGCTATCAACCTTTGAATGATAGTTCCATGATAATATCTCTCCTTGCGTCTCATTTACATGACAAGTCTTATAAAGTTGAAGAGTTGGCTAACTATTATCCAAGCATAGCGATGCATGATGAACATGGCAAATTTAAATATGAGATCATAAATAAATATTTCCTCATGTTTAATAAAAATCTTCCAAAGGACAGATCAATAAATGATATAACGTATGTAATCTCTAATTATAAAATGATTCATCACATCTTCATGCTTGCAATTTACCATTTCTTCATTTCTAGTGAAGAACGTAATTGGAGAAAATGGGCAGACGAGATATTAGTTCACACTCTTTCGCCAAATGTATACAGGACAATTGATGAATCTTATAGAACTTTCAATTGGTTTTCTGAAGTGAGTGAATTTACAGAATAAAAAAAATATATGCAAAAACGCGATGATGTAAATAAAATTAAAAACTGTTTTATCCAGGTCGGCAAATGGGAGGAATACTTTCCATTATGGGAACGAATGTTAATAGTTAATGTTGGTGCAACAGCAATGTGGTTGATAGGGAAAAGGCTCAAGAAGCGACATCGTCTAAAAGACGACGTTCGACAATCATTATACGACGAGGTGAATTACTGGTTGCGTGCTATTCGTTCGCGCGGCACCGAGTTTATGGGTGGCAGCAAGCCCGATCTATCTGATCTTGCAGTATATGGTATCTTGAAAAGTATTGAAGGCTGTGACGCTTTTCAAGATTTATTAACTCATACGAAAATCGGCATTTGGTATAATGGTATGAAAGAACAAGTCGATACACATTCTGGTAGTGTGAATTTAAGTAGATAATATATACGTACATCAACGATTACAATTCCGTGTGTAAAGAAAATTATTTATACTATAAATGATAATAAATAAATAATATTATTTTAATTATTTTCTCCGTCAAAATTCTCATAACTTACGTATATGTATCTTGCATAACAGTGTTCTTAAACTGCACAAGGTAGTTGACGAAACATAAGCTTAAAGCCTTTGTTTTGAGCTTCTTGCATTTCGTCACCATTTGTAACAACATAAAGCACGAATGGTTTTAAGTTCGCTGTATAAGAATTGAAAGAAATATAGTATTTTTATAATATAACATATATGTGTGAATTCTCTGCATCATTATACTTACATGTTTTAGTGATAAATCCATTTCCGCAAAACCTATCTGTATTAGTGGGAACGCCATTTTCACGTGGGTCGGGTATAATCACAAAATCATTCGTGCAGCTCGCACCAGATTCTGCTACCAAGTCTGTACCTATTAAAGTAAACAAAAGTTAAATGTGGTAAAGAATATATATTAAAAATATATTCAATGATATATAATTCGTTAAAAAAATCTTTTCTCGAGAAAAGATATCTGACTTTTGCGGTTTACCTATTATATCTGGATCAAACGATCCCGTATCTCCAGAAACGGAGAAAGAAAATCTGTCCATTTGAGACCACTCGATACTACAATATCCTAAAGCCATTCTGACGCATACACCGTAACGGTTGTTCACCAATTGTCGTGTTCCAATTTGAGGAGCTACAATCATTTATTTTGTTTAGATTATTTTTTCACAGATTTATGCCACATTTATGACATTTATTCAATTGACACGTACCTCGGGCATTTTCTGTTGTACCATAGTTGAAACTCATTACAATATCAGAGACAGTCTTGTAATATTGTAAACATCCATTAGGAGCTGAAACCAAGATGAGAAACAATTCTATAAATTTCTCGAGATAATGAATACGTTCACGTACCTCTACACAGAGAATCGCATGCTATTTGCTGAATCCTTATGTTCCAGCGTCGATCGAACGCGTAACCCGCGTTAGTGTCGACGGATATAGAGATCGGTGTCGCTCCGTTGAAGTCAACGTATACTGAAATGCAATTTAATTAATTCTCTATTTTGCTCAATATGAATTTTTATTAATCTATGGATTTACCATGTTGATTAGTATTTTCCCCGCATAGTCTGGGTACCGTTGACGAACCACCAGATACTAAAAATACGTCGAAATCGCAATATCCAGTTGCATTGGGTTGTGCCCAAGTGGCCTCCAAGAAATCCAACCGCAACTGCAAATATAAAATTTATTAAAAAATGTATTAAAATTTAGATGTAATAAACAATTGAAAAATCGATAGAGAATGTACGCACCTGACATATGTTAGAATTACAACGTTGTACCGTGATCGTGCATCGTTCTCCTCCTTGATAAGTGATTGGATATCTTGGACTTACGAAATATGTATTGTTCATGTTAGAAGTAGAGCCGCAAGATTTTTGAACTGTGATATAAAAGTTGCGTTACTTGCATTATTTATTAAGTAAGTGTATTATTTTTCCTTCTTTTTTAAGTATTTTATTTTTTTTCCTCTTTTGCTACTCACACACACAACAAGTGCCTAATCCGTTAGCGCACGATCCTGAGGGATTACCTCCATAATTAATGCACTCTCGTCTTGTAAAACACGTGCCGTTGAGTTGATCGGTGCTCGATAAGCACTGGGTGTTGGCGAAACGCACAACACTGAATAGTGGAAAAACTAAGGAACAAAGATATCAAATTATTTAAAGTACTTCCAATGGATACTCGTTATTCAATTAAATAACTTACACTTCCCCTGATGATTAGAGTGGGAGTTGAATGACTGAATCTCCAAAGCTGCATTATTCTTTAAGGATTGATCCCAATTAATAATTTCACCGCTTATAATAGACACGAGAACAAAGCAGCCGACTAATAGTATACTGATCATGTCTGGCGATGCAACTGGCTTTAAGAATTACATATTCTGGCTCTAAGAAGATACCTAACGGCAACGATGTATGCTCAAACAATCATGACAATTAGCAAGTAACCGAAACCTCAAGTTTACTGCATGTTCAACTGTGCATTGTATACGAGATAATCCATTATACATATACATATACATTATACATAGATTATACATTTTTGTATAATACAATAATAATATAATGTATAACGCGCAAGAAAATAACAAACTTTTTATAAATAAAAAAACAATTTATATATGTGTACATTGTCTCATAATAATGCTGTACAATCATAATAGATTTAAATAGATACAAAATATTTCGTAACAATTTGATATATAAGTATATTATGTAATCTCTACACACAATAAATTTTTAATTTCACATTATTTCAACCTATAGTCACATTCGGTGTTCGGCAAAACGGACAGTGTCCATGTCGTAGTAATGCTAATTCATAATCATCCGAATGAAACAACTAAAATACATAATAATTATATAAAACAAAATTCTACCTAAATTTTCTTGATTAAATAGCATTTTTTTCAGTAAACTTACCTTTAAACAGCATTTACATAAGCTAATCTGGAGATCAGGTAAAAGATTTCTAAAATATCTAGTCTTAAAGGGCTTAGGCCATTTAATAATTATTACAGTGGACGGATCCATACTCTTCAATATTCCCCTTCCCACAATTATTGTAGAATTATTGGATTTTTCCTGTAAAAAGCATGTTACTTTTTTATAAAATAATAGTACACATAAACATATATATTTAGATATGTTCATTTTACCTCATATCTTATTAAACGCGCGGTGAAAAGATCAGCCTCATTGGAAGTTACAGTAAATTGATCAGAAACTGTGAGCTCAGAGGATGGTAATGGTTCTTCTATTAATTTCTCTGCTTCTTCATCTGTGATGTCATCCTCTAATTCAAATTCAACTAATGGCAAGATTTCTGCAAAACGATATTAGTTTAAACAAATTTACACTATACAACAATTTTCTAAGGAGAAAAGGGGTTTAAGAAATTTAGGAACCTTTGAATTATAATCCAGGCTGTATTTTGATTATTACCTACCAAACATAACGAAAGAATATTGAAATTTCAGTCCACATTGTGTACAATTACTACCAGAGATATTACTCGTCGGTAATAACGGATTGAATGTAGAGCATTTGTAACATAGAGGCAATAACTCTTCTGGGTCACGATACGGATAAGATCTAGCAGCTAGAGTGGATGTTTCCACTTGTGCCAGAAAAGTCGCAGAAATTTTCATCGAGCGTAATTGATCCAACAATTGCATGACCAGCTTATTAGCACCTAATATTCGTGCTTGTTTTACAAGACTGTACATTATCGTTACTTTTGAGACACCTTCTAGACGCATATTTTGTGTCTTCATAAGCAGATACCTCGAGATATTAAATAATGCTTCTGGCATCAGAGATGTGAAAGGTTCTTCCTAGAATATATTAACTTGTAATTTTTTTTTAAAAGAGAATATTCTAAGATATCGTATAAATATGTAGTACATTAATATATACATAAGAATAATGTAACATTATAAGGTATTATCAAAATATCGTACCAAATATTTATGTACTTCGTGATATGCATAATAAATATCCGCTTTGTCAGAATATTTAAGGAACATCATTTTTATCTCTTCCGTACTCTTTGATAAATTTAAACTCAATTGCGATAGAAGCCAATAAAAATAAGAGGCATCGCGATATCTTCTTTCTATTATAGCATTATTAGCTAGCATCGTAAGTACGATTATGGATTCCTCAGGTTGCCCCGCCATTTGGAATGCTGATAAATGGCAAATATCAAATATCTCAATGTTATACATATTTTTTTTATACGTGATGACAGTTTAGTACCTTCTTGAGCCTCGGAAAATCGTCCAGTTTCCGCCAACCATCGTGCATACGGTCCGTATACTCGTGACTTCAATTTTGGATTCCTTTCCGCAAGTTCGAAGGCCTCAGGCCACGCCTGTGCGTCTACGAGTACATCGGCAACGTCAGGATCATCCCCGAGTCTACTAAAAATCTCTGCTGCACCATGTGAAGCGCCTAACTGTTTAAGTTTCTTGGCAATCATAGACAAGTTATCTCTGTCCGCCTTATCCAATTGCCTGCCTACTTTGATCAACATGTCAATCCAACCGTATTCGGCAATAATACTGATGGCGCGATCGATATCTCCCGCAGAAAGGAACATCTCGGCTGCGGCACGTGGTTCGCCCAAACTCTTGGCCCATTCTGCTCGTCGTCGCAACAATACTGTACGATCCTGAAAATAAAGTAAATTATTAAACTAATCTGATAGATATTATTCAGAGTCTTATCATGCGTCATTTACTATTTCATTATTTTTATATTTTTATATTGTATACTGAGCTTGAAATGTTTATTATAAACGAACCTGTGTATTACCAGAAGCTATAAATTCTTGAGCAATATCGAACATTCGCAAGTCGGAGTACATATCCAGAGCGTATTGTTGCAAACCAGCTTTTTGATAGAGCTTTGCCGCGTCGCGAAGTCTACCCATGGCGGCCGCAGCGGTAGCCATACAGGCCTCTCGTCCCCATTCTCCTGATTTTAATTTCTCCTCGACTTCAGATACGATCTCTATGTAGCGCAGTTTCTTCACTCGTGCAAACGCTGAGTACGCGATATTTAATTCCAAATTATCCAGACACGTTATTCCCAAAGCGAGCCAATCCGATTCGGCTACGCCTAAACACGCTATGTCATAAGCGTGATTGTACAATCCAATATCCAGATATTGATACATGAATAGTGATAATGGTACCTGCAAAATATTAAATTATATATAATACATGTTTGTATATTTTATTATCTTGAATAATTCTGCGAAAAGGTTTACCTCTAACGTAATGATGGATGAACCGTTCAGGCAATACAGTTTAGAGCCGTTATGACCTACGACGAAACCGGAAAACTTTTGTCTGTATTCGGAAAAGTTGGCGACTTTTATCGCAAGATAGTTATTGCCCGCAAAGCACATAATATCCTCGAAAGCGGTGTTGTATGCTACACTGTTGACATTTTGAAATTCCTGCAATTTTTCGCCAGTACATAAATCGAATATGGACAAAATACCGGCCTCGCTGACCACCGCCATCTTTTCCTTCAAGGAACTGATATCCAGACATCTCACAACATCCTCAATTTTTGTAATATGCGCGGGAAACGGATTGTCGAGATATATTTTTACTACATGTCCACTCTTTAAACCTAATATCAAATTTAATTTCATTTAATATTGCTAGTTTATTATTATATTATATTATTTTCATTTATATTATATAAGGAAAAATAATAAATTTCTTAAAACTTATACCTGCTATTAGACACTCCTGTCCAGCGGGACCACCCGCTACTTTGATGTAAGTGATGAGTCCATCGAGTATCCATTCTCGTTCTATTATCCCGTTGAATGAGAGACTTTGTAGCCGTTTTTCCAAGCATAAAATTAGATGATTTGATGTAACAACTAACAAATTGCAGTTCAATATCTGATTAAGTTTTTCCCGTATTCTATAATGCATTCCCTCACTGGTGCCGGACGGCTCGTAAATGATTACACGCTCGGGCAATTGCACAGCTAATCTGTTTCGATACACTGCGATTCGGCATATCTAAAATTAATGTTACACATATTTTAATTATGTAATAGTATATTTACATTCTATTAAGTTATTTAAACATTTTAGATAACTCAATATTAATTCGAAAGAAGGTTGTCATGATACTTACTAGATCTTTACATTTAATTCGAACCTTTTGATTCGTTATTAAATGTTGTATTATCACATCAGTCATGTTTTCTCTATATGCATATCTGTCTCCATACAGACCATGTACAATGTTCCAAGTTAGTTGTAAATACGTTATCGTTCCGTCTTGAGAACCAAGCACCTATAGAAAATCGTTAAATAATAAATTATAAAAGAAATGATACTGTAAACAATGTATTATAACTTACAACATGCGACCCAGTTGGATGAACAGCACAGCTCCATACCCATGATGAAAAAGTACCACCTACATTAACTAATTGTATTCCATCATGTGTCATTAAAAGACACTGCTTATTGCTACCACAAATGAGAAGATATTGTCCTTCTGGAAAGTGAACGACTTTCAATGGTATAAAACTGAGTGATCTCTCTCTTTTGACAACTTCTCCTCCAATATTGTAAAATGAGATAACTCCATTCCAATCAGCAATGCAAAGAACATCCATAGTATCATCTCTATAAAAAGATAAATATAATTATATAAAAAAAAATATTCTCTTTTACAAATAACAATTATATCTTATATAGATTGCATGTACTGTATAGGATTCCATGATAGGCTCCAGATTGGTACTCCAAGTTGGCGTTCAATACGTATTCTTTCCTCAGCATTCTAAAAAATGAAATTATTATAAATTAAATTTTAGAATAAAAAAGACCTGAAAGAATATGTAAAATTAATTATTGAAAATTATTTAAAAATAATAACATACCTTATTTCTTATGGATACATATCCAGTTGCAAGACCAAGGGCAAAATATTGTCCATCAGTTGTCCATGCACAGCAATTGACTCTTCCTCCAGACTTATGTTTCTGTACAGCTTTTTGTTCTGCAGACCAAAAGGCAATGTCCGAGAGTGAACAGCTGAGGAGCTGATGCGAGACAGGATTAAAATGCATTGCCTGTACAGCTTCATTATGTCTAAATAAAATCAAAGTATGTAATTTATTAAAGATCTTTCACATTCATTATATATATATATATATATATATATATATATATGTATATATGTATATATATATATATATATATATATATATAAAACTTACGAATATTTTAATATTCCTTCTAACTTGGAAGTCCAAATAATAACACTTTTATCTGCACTTCCTGAGGCAAATTTCTTACCATCTTTCGCATAACATACACAATATACTGTATCCTTGTGACCTGTAAAATATTAAATTATATTAGAGAAAAAAACATTTTGTATTTAAGTCCTTTATAGATATATAGTTATACCTTTCAACGGTTGAATCAAAGCACCATCATTGGTCTCATATACAAGCACCTGATGGCCAGATGCAACAACTAATTGTGTACCATCCGGATTAAAACAGAGGTCATATATACTGAAATAACATCATTTTATAATGCTAATAAATAAAATTATAGTGTGAAAGAGAACAAAAATAAAGAAAAATATAATAAGTTTATTTGAAAAATATAATAAGTTTATTTTAATACAAATAGCTTTATTTTATAAATTTTCGCAAAGTAGTCCAAAAAAAATATAAGATCAGAAAATGCAATATATTTGGAGAAGTTAATTTATAACTGTTGAGAGAAAACAAAATTATCCAAATTTTACCATTGATCTGCCTTTTCTTGCACCTTGTCGACCCATGTTGGATGTGCTCTCATTGTGTCACATTTAATAATGATTGTTTAATATTATTGAATTAATATTACAACATTGTTACCTCATATGACATACGAGGATCTGTTTAGCATTCATACGGTTACCACGGAAACGACATATGAAAGGTGTGAGAAATTCCTTCCCAGGAAATATAACCGTAATGATCATGATATAAGCATTTCCAGAAAATATATTAAAAATATATTAAACGTCATTTATGTCATAAAATGTTATATTTCACTGATAAATTTTGTATTAAATCAGCTTATTCTTAAAAAGTTTATTCAAAAACATTTTCTCTCGAAGATTTGCAATTTTTTTTTACTTGTAACATCATTAGATGGAGACAGTTTCAAGTTCTCATCTGTATATCAACACTAGATAAAGATTTAATTACAGAGAGCGATTTATCGACTAAAGTGTTATTTTTAGTATCCTTTTTCTATAAAAATATGTTCGAAAATACTACTGTGAAATATAGTAACTTTCAATTCAGACCAATCAGAAATCTCTGTCTTTTTTATTCTGCTTGATCAATCACTTTATGTAGGATTTCCGAACGTACTCTTATAAAAGCGTAAAAGGTTAAGTGCGCCGTGAATACAAAATCCTATAAAGAGAGATGGGAGAGTTATGATGACTAATGTAGAATATTCCCAAAGAGATCAATTTCGAGTTGGATTATTCGATTGATGGGCATATCATTTGCTAAACAAAGTAACGTCAAAATGAGCAAGTACGTACTTTACATCTTGTGTCATGATTAACCTAAATCTATAACCATTGTATTTCTTTTTAATTTATAAACGAATGTAATATTTCAGTCCTAGAAGCAACGAATCTGAGAAGAATGCCAAGCAAGGTCAATCGAACAGCAGCACGAGACCGTTGTCCATTGAAGGCCCTTCCACCTCCAATAATGTCTCACAACCGTTACCAAATCAACCTAGACAGCCAACCAATTTGCAAGGGTTGCTCAAATATGCCATGGACGCGGCGCAATCTGAGGATACGGAAAACAAATCGCCGATCTATCCTTTGGACGAAGAAGTATAGCGTTTAATTTAATTAATCAGATGCTGAAAGCTTTCAATTTGTTTCGTGCTTGTACATTGCATTGTATATTACAGAAAAAAACGTTTTTGAACGAAGCATTGTCGTCGTTAACGGTGAACGTAATAGAAGAAATGCAGAAAGCTGTACAGACCTTGTCCAATGTCGGCAATCTACGAGCTGACGACGATTCGTCCGAGTACGAGAATGCGCTGGAGAGAATGGCGGATCTTGTCGACAATATCGACATAGCCAATGATTTTTACAAGATCGGGGGTTTTGCGATATTTCAGCCGTGCCTGAACTCGTCGCACAGTAATATCAGATGGCGGATAGCCGATATTATTGCTGAATTAGCGCAGAATAATCCATTTTGTCAAGACAAGTTGCTCGAAGCCGGAGTATTCCCTGTATTGTTATCCATCATCGATACAGATCCGTCGGAACAAGCGCGGATAAAAGCTCTGTATGCAGTATCGTGTAAGTGACAGAACGATACAAAGCTTAGTTTCTTTAATTTTTATATTATATTAATTATATTTCAAAAACAGGTATAGTCAGAGGACATCCAGCATCATTAAAGTATATGGACACAAACGACGGTTACTCGGTACTTTTGCGAGCGATGCAGAGCCCGGTGGAAAAGCTGCAGATAAAATCCGCATTCTTACTCTCCAGCTTATGTAGCAAGGACGACTCGAGCGATATAAAATGTACCTTAGTAAAAATGGGATTTATAGAACAAGCGGCAGGTTTGTTGGGTAGAATGAATTTGCAGTCGACAGTCAGGTAACGTATATCTATAGCATTTCGAAGCCAAACATTATAACTTCTTACTTTTCATAATATATTTGATTGGAATATTTTTATTATAGAGAACAATTATTGAGAGTTCTTAATGGTATGGTAAATGATAATTTTTTTCCGGCACTGAAGGAATGTCGGCGTCCACAATTGTGTTTAAGATCCACATTGGAGCAATTGTTGACAGAATTAAAACCTGTAGAAAATCAAGATGAGATAGATATGTGTTCCGAGCTCCTGGATAAAGTATTTTTTGAGCCTGACACTAATCATGAGAGATAGCAAACTTGTGCATCACAATTTTTCTCTAAATAAAATTATAATAATATTATTTTGTAAATTATTACATATTTACCATTATTAAATTTTGTAAATCTAACATCTATCTATAGTTTTAAATATTTATAATTTCAATCAATAATACTACACATGTGTGCGAGATAACACAAAAATAAAACTATTATATTAAATAACTGCTTATATATACTACATTAAGTTAAATCGACAGATATTTTGTCGTCAAAAAATTCATAAAACTTATATAATCTAACACATCTAGAAAATATCAACTTTCGACACGACCGACTGAATTAATCAATTAAAATTTTACATTTCCTATATCTAATAATTAGATACTTGGCTCAAATAATCAAAAAGAAAATGGCAGAAGAGCCAATGCGCGATAGTTGGAGCGCAGAGAAGTAACACTTCTTTCTTTTTTCAATATTGCATTAATGAAAACATATAATAACAAAAAGCGAACGTTTCGGATCATCTTTCGATCCTTCTTCAGCGCGTCGAGAAATTATAAAAATAAATTCATTTAATGTAACGCGTCACTATTTATAATATATATTGTTAACATCGCGCTAGAAGGTAATTTTGAAATGTGTGTATTAATTTTTTTTCTCAATGTACTCCGATAATATGTACCGGGCTTTTTTCCTGAATTAATTCGATGAACGATACGCTCACGTACATCCGGGCACGATGCGTCAATCAAACGACGCGTTTCATCATCCATCCCCACCATGCAACCTCCGTTGCGAACCGGCGTGTACTCTGCCACTTTCCTTCGTCTCTTCACTTCATCGCGTGCTCCGTCTTCTTCTCGTATTCTCTTTCTCCTTTTGGCGCGCGTCCGATTTAGTTCAACCGAACATCAACCGGTCAGTAGTCGGTAGTCAGCCGACAGTTCTCATCGGATCTCGATATGTGATCGTCTCTCTGCCGGAATTCTCCAGATGTCTCGAAAATTTCGCCCGCTCGTTCGAGACCTTAAGAAAGATTCTGGGAGATCGTGCTTTCCCTTGGAGCGGATCTCCCGAGCCCGGCCGACCGATTGATCCAAGATCGATCCTAAAAATCAAGAGGAAAATCAGAGATCGATCATCATGCAGCAGGATCGACAGCCGCGAAAGAGGAACGTCATCGCTATAGAACTCGCCGATCACACCCGACGTCACGTCGAGCCGTCTCGCGAATTGATAAATTGAAGTCACCGACAAATTAGCATCCCTGTGATCAGGATCCCGAGGTATAAGTTGAAGAGAGAATAGAGACGTCGGCGTTAATCCGATGATCGAGAATCGACGCGAGCGGCATCGAGAGTGAGAGGCCACGTGGGTTGCAGCTGATCGATAAGAATCCGATGCGAGAGCGAAGGAAAACTCAATCTGTGACATTTCTTCCAAGAGATAGAATCTCTCAGAGCGCGTAAATCGCTCTTTCTCTCTCTTTCTTCTTTCAACGGAATTTGCTCTGCAATGTAAACGAGGAGACGCAGGATCGACTCGGAGAGTTTTCATCCTGGAAAAGACGGAAGATGATTCGGAAGAAATTTTTAGAAAAAATTGAAACTTTACAACTGCTCGATAACTAATTTGCATATTTGTACTTTCTTGCGAGATAAGAGAGATTAAGCTTAAATTCTTCGAAATCTTAAGGACAGATGATGGAGTATCACAAGTTGCTGAACTTTGAATTGTAAGATATATTATTCAGCGATAATTGAAGCAATTGGATAGCAAGAGGCAAAGCGAAAGAAAGAAAAAGAAAAGCAAACGAGACACAGAGAGAAGAGAGAGCGCGAAAATTGCTTGTTGCCCGATTTTTTTTTTCGCGAGAGAGCACAAAAATGGAGAATGCACACGATGACATCGATAACAATCTCTGGGTGTTCGGATATGGATCGCTCTGCTGGCATCCAGGTTTCTCGTACATCAGAAGCATGATCGGCTATGTCAAGGGCTTTGATAGGCGATTCTGGCAAGGCAACACCACGCATCGTGGGACGATCGAGAAGGTGAATTGACTTTCAATTTTTTTTTAATCATTATTCTTTTCTCCCTTCATTATTGCCAATTATCGCGCTCGTCACTTATGACTGATTTAATATCTAATAGGCCGTATGTAATAGACGCACGTAGAATAAAATTGGCTATACACATACGCGGTCTAGTGGAAGGCGAATTGAATGAGATAACGAGATTATTAGACAAAATTGGCTTTAAATTTTCGACGAAGCGCTAAACGGAATTCTCTTTTTATTTAAAAAATATCTATTGTAATTTTATATTCAAGAAATATAGATAAGAGATTTATTCGAAAAGATTTTATGGATTTTTTTATGCTCAAGAAATAAGGATAAAAGATTTATTCGAAAAGATTTTATGGATTTTTGATAAAAATAATGAAAATTGTTTTTTTTTTAACGCGCGACTGTCCGATTATTCATATAGTCATATAATTATTATATAATTAATAATGTAATATTGAAAATTCATATATTCATACATTTATTATTACATAATTGTTATTATTACATAATTAATAACGTAATATTGAAAAACTTTGTAATAAAAATATTTAGTACATTAAAAATACTTTTACTATGATATCATAATATGATCAGTCATTAATATGATTACGGTTTTGTGTACTGATACTTGAGACATGCATTTTCCATTTACGCGATAATAAAGATTATAAAACAGCTGTACGGACTTTGAATAAAGCAAATATCCGTGGTAACGATCTTCGATACTCCTGATATGATAAAATAATAAACAGAATCTCGCAACTACTAATAAGAAATCAATTCCGCAATTGGGAAGGTTCAAAATTGTGTGCAATAGATTTAAAAAAAAAAACATATTTTTATATTTATTATGACGCTTAATGAAAATGTCGGAAATTAATCGATATTTCATTTCTTCTCTTCCTAATCGTATCCGAGTATCTTGACAATGCATGATATCTTGTATTTGAGGATTTGTCCTTGCCATCCTTCTCTATTTTCAGTTGGTCGAATGCAATCGTATACCTTTATCAGTTTGAAAATTTGATTGACATATCATGAAGGTGACCGTTCGTGGGGTCTCTTTCCTTCTATCTTTCCCTGGACGATCAGCTTTTCGAGAAAATCTCTTCACATAATGTGATCGAAATATTTTAAAATAGACTTGTATATTTTGCTCAATCTTTCAATATATATATATATATATAAATATATATATATATATATTGGAGGGTATATATGTGTGTGTGTGTGTGTAATAAATTCTAAATTGAAATGTATAAAGAAATTTTTTTATAAGTATCGAAGAGAGAGAGAGAGAGAGAGAAATATGATTATGAAATTTTTTTATTAAAACTTTAATGTATGACCACTCTTATTACTGCGCATCGTTTTGTCTCGCGATAATTTTCAACGAGATTGATCGTTTGCTAAAAAAGAATAAGCAGGAACTGATAATAAGGCTAACCAAATCGTGAATGACCAGGCAAGGTCGATAAGTTTTTATAACTACATTTTCTTCGGGCGCAAGAATATTCGACTTATTGTTAATGTTACGTCATATCATCGTATCATCACTGAATTTATTAACTTTGTATTTCGCTGTCATTAAATATTCACTTTTAATTAAATCACTAAAATTAAAAATTAAAACGTACGAATAAGTAGTGTGTATGTCTCTCTCCCTTTCTCTCTCTCTCTCTCTCTCTCTCTCTCTCTCTCTCTCTCTCTCTCTCTCTCTCTCTCTCTCTCTCTCTCTCTCTCTCTCTCTCTCTCTCTCTCTCTCTTTTCCGAGTTGAATTATTTCAAAACAGTCCATCTGTTGCATTATTACCAGATACATTTGGATATGTATGGCATTTGTCATCTATATTTTCGTGTATTGTAAATATATATATATATATATATATATATATATATATATATATATGCGATTATATGCTCGCGTGATTTCTATGTCGAGTCACGTGACTTTTAAATTCGCGCGAATATTCTATTAATATCTTAATTTTGTCGTTTGCTGCAGCATTCTTTCTGTCTTGGCCCAATTCCAAGCGCGCACGTGAAAAGATACGGTTTTGTGCGCGCATTGATCGTTTATAATACAAGTGTTTCGGCTCGATAAGAATTCGCTCATCAACTTTCGTTTTGATAAAGAAAATATGCGCGGCCGAACTTTATGACACATCGCGAAATAAAAATATAATTGTTCTCGCGAATCTTTCTTTCCTGTTCCTCTTTCTAAAATAATGCGCGGGAAAAATTTTTCTCGTATTTCCGTATTTATTTTATACGTTCCTCCCTCCTTTAATTTAATTTCTCGAACGCGAAAAGGCGACGTTTGACATTTGCAAACTTATATTTTCTCTTTCGCGCAAAACTGTTCTCGGAAAATTAATATGAATAATTGCCTAGAAATATTAAATATTGATAACAACTTATATTATATAAGAGTCGTGTTTCTAAAGTGCAATTTCATAGACATTAATTCTTCTCGAAAAATGCAAATTTTATCGAGTATATATATGTATATTAATTAAGTAAAAAAGACTGGTCGATGTGCATCCACGCTCATAGCGAATCGATAAAATGATATCTTTAATTAGATTAATAAGATTTATGGACTAAAAACAGGAAATCATTCTCTGTTTTTATAAATTTCATATAGAAACTGTCAACTCCCAAAGATATTTCTAGGACATCTCTCTGGTAAAATATCAAAAGAATAATATTTTTCTTTCTTTCTTTTCAAACACTTACCACAAGATGAATGTTGTACTTTGCTGACGTATAAATTACGTGAAATTGTATATATAACCAGTTAGAAACCAGTAGTAACCGATATCTTTAAAGAGAAAGATTAGCTCTGTGTGTGTATGTGTGTATGTCGTACATTACTCTTTGTTTGATGTGACATTTCACAAGAACGCGATATGTATTTTCATCTTTTATTACAAGATAAAAATTATAATACAAATTATTCATTACAATATAAAAATATATACGCAATATAATAACGTATAAAAATATGATACATATCTTTTATATAATAATATCTCTTACATTTCATCATGTAAAGATTTTCAGATTCGAGACTTGATTTTCCATATATGACTCCTATTTTACTTCCTATCTTAATTTAAATAGTTTAAATTATAATATTAGTTTGTGGAACTAATGATATAAAATATAAATATTTGTCTGAAATTATAATCAATTTATATATTTATTTTTATATAATAATAATAATTTTTTTTTATTTAATAGGATTATATTTATGTTATTTAGAGTTAAAAATTATATTTGAGTGAATATTATACAATAACGTTCTTCCTTTTTTATGTTGCAGCCTGGACGAGTCGCCACACTAATCGAGGATAAAGAGGTACGGCAATTTATATCAGAGTAATTAATGGTCACTTCAGATACTATCGTAAATGACCAATTCTTAGGAAAGAAGTGTGGGAGTCTCGCATGTAACGTAGATTTTTCTCTTTGTCGACAGGGAGTAGTTTACGGAAGAGCGTTTCAAGTTCAGGATAACGAGGCACTATCCTATCTGGAGAATCGGGAATGCGCTCTGGGAGGATACCTGACGACCATCGCGACGTTTCACAGCCGGGACGAGGGCAAGCAGTTTTCCGTCATAATTTACATCGCCACTAACAAGAACGAGCAGTGGCTCGGCGAAGCGTCCTTGCAGAATATAGCACATCAAATCATCGAGTGTTCTGGCCAGAGCGGACACAACGTCGAATATCTCTTACGGTACGAGACGCCCATGCAGTACTTCCTCTCTATTTTCATCCCATTTTCGAGCAACGAAGGAAGACTGTTACTTGATTAAGCGTTTCACTCTGTCTGATTGTAACGACTCGAAATATTTTTAGATGCAATGTAAAAAAACTAATATTAAATTGAACATTAATACTTTTACAATTTCGCTATATATATTACACATAAAATAGAATATTTTTACTTTTTATATAATAACAGAAGTTGTAAGAGAGAAATCTTTATTATTGAAAATATGTATTTCAAAGAGAAAGATAAAAAGGACTGTTTGTCTCTTACAAATCTTGTTTCATCATCGTTATTACGTTGCTCGATATGCAATCTTTATTAATATTTTATTAATCTACAAGTAAAATATAGTGAGATGATGCATTCATATGTGACTGGTGACAGGTTGGCGGACTTCATGCACCGTTACTTGCCGGAGGCGCACGACGAGCACCTTTTCACGCTGGAGATGCTGGTGCGTTCGCGAATAAAAGAGGAGAACATGTGTCTGGCGACGTTGATGGGTAATCGCGACTTCGTCATCGACCTCGACGAAGACGCGGAGCCGGCAGGTAATGAACGCGCAGAAGCCAACGATCGGCCGCCCCGCGAGAATTCCTTCCAGTTCAGCGCACGGATACCGTCCAAGAGCTTGCGTTGCGTAAAAATGTAGTTGACCGAATTCGGGTAAAGTTTTCGATCGGGGATACATACGTCCAATGCGAATTGCGAATGACAGCTTATTTTCTTGCGCGACGTTCAAGTACAAACGACTATTTCGACGAAGACGTTAACTGGTAGCGAGATTACGTTTTTATAGGAAGTGAAAATTCTAGGCAAATCAAAGCTAGTAAAAAAAAGAATCGAAAACCCTTAATAAGCTTCGCTATGTATATAATATAATATATAATGTAATATATATAATATATATAATTTTCTCCGTTGGCGAGAACGCTTCTTTTATCGCCGATATGTATCGGCTTCGGTCTAAATTTAAAAAGCAGCTGCACATTCCATTGGGAATATAGTCTCGCTGCCGGTATACGTCTCTTATTGTTAGAGGCTATTCTATCATACGTGTTTATAAGACGGCTGTGTTAATTTTGTATCGCGCAACGTGCTGGACACGTGCACGCTTAGAGATCGTGAACTTCGCCGCTTCCTACTTTATTAATGTCAACTTACTCAGCTACGTATTATTTTTTTTAATGTAAGACATTTCTCATTCTTATCTTGGGAAAGCGAGGATCGTAATATGTGCGCGAGCGAAATAAAGTTGAAATTGTCTAAAGTCTGATATATACGAAGAAAGAGCGTTTTAGCGAAGCATATTTTTTATATTGAAAACTGTAGACATCTCATTTTTAAGTGTTTATAAGCATTCTAATATTGCGAATTTATACTTTGTACATATATAGTTAATTTTATACACTGACGCGCGCGTGCGTCTCTTTCACGCACATTAGACTACAATATATATTTCTATAATAAAAATGTTATCTTTTTTAAAGAAATATATTAAATGTATCTACATTTTGTGGATATGTAAACAAAAATTGTAACTCTCGTTTTATGAGAGGATGTTTTTATTGGTATAAAATTTAGAAAAAATTATTAATGAGACAAAATGAGATTATTAATGAAAGTGTATCAAATAAAACACGTATATACATATGTTAGAACTTTTTTATCGTGCGTCAATAAGTTAGGAAATTATCATTCAACGATCGATATGTTAGGAATGTTTCTTATAGATTGTACTATCAATAAGGTAGATTACTAATTCTTTTACATTTAAACTTTTATATCTATAATTTTCCCCTCGATATAAAATACATTTTCCTTAACTAATTTATTCAATTTCTAAATCTTTATAAAATTATTTTCTTATATTATGATAAATTTCATCTGCACTCTTTCTCCATTAATTTTAGGAAATGGACGAAAAGAGGGAATATTTAATGAAATATATTTTTATTTATTTTTTATTACCTATTAATTTTATTATCTAGAAATCGAGAATTTCGCGCAAATAAATGTAATAAAATGCGGTCGAAAAATTCATGAACGGTACATTGTAATATAGAACAGCCATTCATCCAGCCGCTTAGACTCTCCATAAATATTAGACTGTCTATCCTACGGAACGTTGCGTCGTACATTTTAGTTGCCATTATTTTACGTAATAATTCGAACGTTCAAGTTTTAGAAGAAAATTTTCTAGAATATATACGTTCAATAACAGTATTCTAACGGAACAATCATCCGCACTCTTCTCTTCCTCTACACCCTACCTTTCTACTAGCGATATGATATCTATAATTACGTTTTTTTATATGTTATATCGAGTAGTAGAGATTCATGCGATTCATTCATCGATGGTCGTTAAAGCGTATCGCCGAAAATTCGATCAAAGAAGATTGCTCGCGTTAGCAATTGTAGTTCTATATGATATGTAATGTATTTAATGCAATTATATACAATGTCACATCAAACGAAACGAAATTCTAAAGTGATTGACGTTCCACTGAAATATGCAAGTAAAATATCAACTTATGCAATGTAAGATATTTTTTTAATCTTTACATCAAAGCATTCAAGTAACGCTTTTACTGCTACATGTTATATATTCATATCGATTTGCGTAACAGATTGATAACATCTGTAAAAAAGTAAAGTTTGTATCAGGTTATTTTTTTAGAAACGTATGGCATAACCAAGAAATTATCTTGCACCGATTTCAAAGGAATTCGTATTAAGAATATTGAGGAAAAAAATTGTATTAAAAGAGATAATCTTTCACTGTATTTTTTTAAGAAGAATGATGAACACGAATCTGCTATGATACTTGTGATGTGGGACCGGTTTTTGCTAAAGTAAAAGGGTCCAACCGTTCATTAAAAAAAAAGAAAAGAGGACACATTTTGAACACAATCCGATTCAGACACGTCGCATTCGTGATGCAGTTGCACGCCGTTGGTCTTTCGACTTAAGTCTCCCGTGTGTCTCAAAGTCACGCGTTCACGAGAGCATCAGACTTAAAACGAGTTTAGATACTTATTGCGAGATACTACAAAGAGAGGAAAAAAAGAAGATGCACGTCTTTACGTAATGCAAAAGAGCCTACGCAATGTTTGCCTATGCTTCTCACGCATTTTTCTACCCGATCAATCAGTGATCGGAAATATAAATAGCGATCTCGCAAAGTAACAGATTCACGACCTGATTGCAATCGAGCTCAATTTTTGTGAATTTATAACTAAACAAAATCTTCTTTATAAAAGAAAAAGTTGTTTATATATATGAATTTATATATAAATTGTAAAATGTACGTATAAATTTATATATATTAAATTTATACGTCATAAATTTATAGATACATATATGTATAATTATTATTATAAATTATTAAATTATATAAATTATATAAATTATTATAAATTATTAAATATCATTATTATTAATATATAATATTATGTATAAATTATTTATATACATTCTGATTTATACATATTTCTGATATTTTAAGAGAATGAATATATATGTATATATTCATTTTCTCGAAAATAATAGAAATAAAAACCAGAAATTCAGAAAAACATTTAATTTCAATCGACTTCGATTAACTTGATTTTCGCAAGAAAATGTATTACAGTAACCCTTATAATCGAAGTCTTTGACGTTACGTCAGACTGAACATTGTTTCAGTTATGAACGTCGATTTCTTACGATAAAGAGAAATCTGCCGCGCACAGTTGAAGTTTTCGAGCCGACTCAAACAACAAATAACGACTTGCCCACGTCTTTATAGAATGGACACCGGCGTCCGTCACGCATCGTGACGGTAGAACCAGCCATGTATCTCAGGGATAACGTTACTCCGTAACGTAGTGCATCCACTGTCCTGCAATTCCCATTAAGGACACCAAACGGGTATTGATCGGACTCTTTTAATTAAATGACATAAAATGTATACTCAATTTTTTTTCCCGAAATCGGGAGGAGAGCGAAAAGATTTTATTTAAAGATTTTATTAAAAGATTTTATTAAAGAATTTTATTAAATTTTTATTAAGAATTATTAAAAATTTGTATTAAAAATTATATCGATATTATTTTCTTTAATATAATATAAATTTTCTAAATATTACATAAAATCTATTAAAATAATTTAACTCTCTGAATGTAGAAAAAATATACATTTGAATTGCGTTTATAATATATATCATACTTATCATATTTACAATCTAATAATTTTTGCATCGTAAATGATAATCGCATGCGTTATAAAACATTGTCATAAATGACGTATATGAAATATTCGCTATTTATACGTGTTTAAAGTCACTACTGTCTCATTGATATAAATTGTGAAAAAAATATGATGATGATTTATTCCGAAAGCATGTATATATTCATATATATGTGCATATTATATATCGCATAGAAATTTACGTAACAACGTGTATCGTGCACTCTGCTCAGCCTCTTATTGCAATGATATTTACTGTGAAAAGCGAATGAAAGACGCTGCATGCAACAAATTGGACATGGCCGGCCTGAAGAAGTTAACAACTCGCACACGAGCCAACTCGAGCGTGTACGGCGTATACGCTTCGTTTCGCTGAAATAATAACGAAGAGATCCCCCCAGACCCGACCCGGTGTGTCGTCACGGTGTAAGCAGGAATTTCTTATTCTCCTTTCCTTTACATTTTCACCGAAAATTACAAAAAATTCCCACTAGAATCTTCCGCGAGACGTCGCGAAACCGCTCGGAATTAATATCGTAGGCAACGGACAGTACAATCGTTATACGAGAAATTAAATTCCTGGCCGGAGAAATTAAATTTCGCAAAAGAAGCCTCGTAAAGCATTTCATTCGAAATATCTTTATCTTCCATCTCGATTGACACACATTTGTATCATCGATCAGTTTACGAAAATCAATTCGAGAAATCGACCAAATTCATAATCATCAACTTTTCCATCATCAAGGACTGAAATATTTTCATTCCTCTATCGCATTGCGTAGCCGAAGAATTAATCAGATACGAATCTGGACGATTACTACTGCCATTAAGTGACACCCACGGTTCTTCAAGGGCTTTTGCGCGTGCGGCGAACTGTGCAAGAAACGTCCTACACGCGGGAACGAATCGGTCTTGCACGTCGCTTGTTGGCGATTGACAAACCAACGATCCGGCAATGTCGATCGCGCATGAAAATGCATAAGCAACAACGGCAAAAACTTCGTTAAGGCTGGCCCAAGGAGCGTAAAATGTGGCACGTTACATCACCATCCGTATAAAAATGTCTTTTAAAAAAATATAATACGCATAGCGAGTAATTGCGTCACTCAACGTGACAGATTTATTCGAATAATTATAAAAAGATTAGGAGCATATACACGCAACGTGTGTGCGAATCAAGCGTAAACGCTTGATGTACATAAGCGACCAATTGAAATTCAAGACTTGTGATGTGAAGACTATTTTCTAAGTAGCGATTGTAACGTGAAAGGATGTAACAGCGACGCGTTAATGACGGCGTTTGCCAACAATTATGATCATAACCACGTCTGCTTTGTAGATAAAACTCGCGCGTTACAAGAGCACCGTCTCGAGAGAAATTTTCCCGAGAAATGTGCAACAACGAAGAAACAATGCTGCGATTCCCGTGGACCGTAAATGCACGAATCAAGCCGTGCATTAACTTGCCTTTTGCCGCAATTACGCGCGACGCGTTTCTTTTTATTATCATACACGACGAAAAACTTTCGCCGGAGCCAACATTTTGCATTTCCTGCCGCACACAATTTCAACAGCATGCACACGTATGTCCGCCGTTTGCGACTTTTTCTCGTGCATTTCTTCCTCACATGTAGCTCGCGATTCCTCGAGCTGTGTATTCCAGCTATTGTAATTTATATATAATATATCATTATAATTCTAGTTAGAATTATTCTGTAATAAATCTTTTGTGTCTATTGTTGCGAAGTCAAATGACTTTAATAATATTTCTTGGATTTCTGTTTGAGAAATGAAGTGAGATATAATCGTTATCGTTTAGGCAATGCTGAGGAAATAAAAACGAGATATCCATTATTGGCTCATTTGTCGAAATTAGTTTCGTACCACGTAGACGCGCGATATAATCGCGCTAATATGACATATCCCGACGTAATTGTTTGTCCCCGTTAATGCGGACGCGCAAATGAAGCGCGGTAAATCCCAGAGCGGTCGGTGATGCATAATTAACGTCCCGGCGTTGCCTTCCCTTTTGTATCATTTATGCGTAAACGATTAATTGGGACTCGTAATTTCGCCGCATGATTTGCAAAAATTATTTTTCCATCTCTCTCTCATCTCGATTTGTCTGCAAAGAAACGACATATTGTAATATTTATGTGTTGTTTACCTATTGTTATAATATATTATTGTAATATTTATTGTTATAATTATATATAATTAAATTATAATAAATTATATTTATAATA